GTGTCCTGGTGCCAAGTGCACCGATGGACATCCTTATGCCTGAACATGGTGTTCATTATGGACAATCCGTGACTTGCACAGAAGTCCAATAATGAGACACCACTCGGGTTCAGAGCTGGGGGCCCGTTCCTCCCGATCACGCCCCTCCAGGTGTCACTGTCGTTTCCCACGTGGGCGTTGAAGTCTCCCAGCAGAATGATGGAATCCCCGGGAGGGGCGCTTTCTAACACCCTCCCCAGGGATGCTAAGAAGGCCTGGTACTCCGTACTGCCGTTCGGCCCATAGGCCGAAACAACTGTCAGAGTCCTCCCTCCAACCCGAAGGCGAAGGGAGGCGACCCTCTCGTCTACCGGGGTGAACTCCAACACGAGACGGCTGAGCTGTGGGGAGACAAGCAGCCCCACCCCCGCCCTCCGCCTCTCCTCGCGGGTAACTCCAGAGTAGAAGAGAGTCCAGCCTCTCTCAAGGAGCTGGGTTCCAGAGCCCTGGCTGTGCGTAGAGGAGAGCCCAACTATTTCTAGCTGGTATCGCTCCACCTCCCGCACAAGCTCGGGCTCCTTCCCCCCCAGTGAGGTGACATTCCACGTCCCCAGAGCCAGTTCAAGCGCCCGCGGATCAGGTCGCCGAGGTCTCCGCCTCTGGCTGCCGCCCAATCCTCTTTGCACCGGTCCCTCATGGTTCCCCCTGCAGGTGGTGGGCCCACTAGGGGATGGCCTCGCGTCGCTCCTTCGGGCTGGGCCCGGCCGGGTCCCGCGAGGAAGAACCCGACCACCAGGCGCTCGCCGACGAACCCCAACCCCAGGCCTGGCTCCAGGGTGGGGTCCCGGCTCCGCCGTACCGGGCGACGTCACGTGCCTCGTTTGAGTCCTCGTCATAAGGGTTTTTGAACCGCTCTTCGTCTGACCTGTCACCCAGAGCCTGTTTGCCTTGGGAGACCCTTCCAGGGGCATTTAGCCCCCGACAACATAGCCTCTGGGATCACCCAGGCACTGAAACCCCTCCACCACGTTAAGGTGGCGGTTCAAGGAGGGGTTATCAGAAAATATACCAAAAAAATGAAAATAGACTTCAATTGTATTAACATGGTGGTGAGTGATGACGCAGTGGTTTCCTCATATTTAGGCTGCAGTAGATCACCATGTTAAGTTTTCACCATATGGCAATTATGCCACATTTGTCAATAGAATATAAACTGTCAGGTGTGGTGTGGAGTTTTTTTGGGTTGTCTGGTATGACATTTTGTCTAAAATTAACATCACAAGAAAGCTTATACAGTCAACAAACATGCTGCTTGATGTAGCGGTTAACCTTGTAAAAAAGAACAAAGGCGAACTTATCAGTTACTGAAAAACAGGCTCCTGTGATGCAACGACATCTGCTGAAGAAGTTTCTTATCGGATGAACACAGAAGCAGTGCTGAAAGAGAAGTTATTGCGTTCTACGAATAAGCACTTTTAACATGAGGTTGCAGATGATCCTATAGTGGATGCTATGAAGAGGCTTGAAGTGTCATTTTTTTAATACTGTAGTAGACTGTAGCATTCAGTCATTGGAGGGTAGATTTACATCTCTAAGTGAGGTTAAAGAGAACTTTGGAGGGCTGCTCAATTTTAGGGAGCTTGATCGAAAGCTCCAGAGGGAACAGTGTGAGCTTCTTGGGGAAGAACTCTTTTGTGGAGAGGAGGCTGATATTGATGGCAGCACACTGGCATTAGAGATGGAGAGTCTTCCTGAACTTCCCCAAACTATGAAGACTACCTTTGAGCTTCTCACATACCTCTCACAAAATGAGATGTGTGTACCCAGATCTTCGGGGAGCTCTTAGAATAGCCTGCACTCTGCCTGTGACAGTTGCCTCAGCAGAGAGGAGCTTTTCCAAGTTCAAATTAATAAAATCATACTTGAGATCATCAATGGCCCAGGAAAGACTAAGTGGACTTGCAGTTATTAGTATTAATTACAAAATTGGCCAAGCAATACCATACAATGATATCATCAGTGACTTTGCCTCCAGAAAAAACTAGGAAGGAACGATTTTGAGGTAATTGTTGAACCCTTGCTGTTCTTACGTTTGCTTTGCAAATCAAATTCTGCTTCGGGCCCCCAAGAGGCTTTAGGCCAGCACTGGATGCAGGAGCTGAGCACTAAACAATTTATTGCAATTTCACGGGAGTGGGGGTGCTTTGTTTCACTGCATACTGATAAAAAATGAGGGAGAACATGAAGAGTATTTATTTTACTGCTGGATTTCCTTTTAATATTTGAAAAATATAGCGGGACAAATTTTTTGTTTTGTAACAATAAGTGGACTATTCATAATTACCGTAATGGAAAGTCCACTTATTGTTTATGTAGTGGTGATTATTTGCCGGTCCAAACATCCAATTGAAGCCACTACTAAGGCAATGGGGTCAAGTTTCTATACGCAGGCAAAAAGAAGTTTCGATGTCCAGTCTTGATGATGGATCTGGATGGTTTATTTTCTAATTTGCCAACAATTAAAGAGTACAAACTTTTCTTTTGTCCTACCTCTCTTGCACTGGTAAAAACCATAGGCCCCAAACCCAAAATGCCTGCTGGTCCTTTCCCAGGCCCCTACACTTATAGAAAGTGGACTGATCCACATCGCTTCTTGTCATACCTCAGAACAAAAAAAAAAAAAAAGATAAATAGAATCAACAATTATTAACCTGCAAATAAACTCTGTAAATAATACAGAAAATATACATTTGGAATGAACACAATTCAAATGGAGTAAGAAATAACGAACAAATAGCTCCAACAGTTTATTTTTGAGTACGTTTGTAAATATATTATCTGTTAAAGTCTAATGAGTCTAGTAAGATGAATGTAAGATAGAGGAACATTTTATTTAAACAAAAAATGCCTTCCGGTTTTTTGGAAGTTATCTCATGTACATCCAGGAATACATGAGATACACTGAGGATGTTCAGTCCTTTTCTGTATAACATAAAAGTAATAAGACTGAATTGGGCAGGTAGAAACCTAACTGAAAAATATAACCCTTTTTTTTTAAAGACATACAGATGTATGTAAATATTGCATAAATTTGAGATCTGCTCAACAGCTCTTCTGTTGCACCAGCATGTAAGAGTAAAAATATCTTTTGTCATGTAGGCATTTTTGATTGATGCTGCACCATATAAAAGAAATACTATGGACATATTTGTTATAAAATACAATAACTAAAAATAGAAACCTTAGATAATGTATTATCTAAGGTAATATAAATTTATTAAATATAAGTAAATGAGATTAAATTATTTAAAAAAATGTATTTACCTTTTTATCTTAAAGTAAGTGTTTAGTAAGAATTCAGTGTGTTAGTTTGATTTATTTTAGACATTGTTGACCAGTCAGTCACCATTTGAGCAGCTGAAGCTAAGATATAGCAAAGCATTACAAGAAATAAACAGGTTTATTAATGTGTCTACATTATAAAAAGGAAGAAATGGTTAAACCCTGGAAACATACTTGACATTAATAAGAAAAACTCAAACTTATTGTTTGTGTTATTTTTACTTTCATTATCGATTGTTGAGCAAAGACCTGATCTTCTTGTTTTAATTAAGTAACTAATAATCAAGCATTAAGCATGTTTTGATAGTGCTATCTTAGTTTTTGATACTTAAAAATAGTTTAAAATTATTTTCTTCAATCTATCATAGATGTTTAAAACTGTCTTTAGTCAGAGCACATGATAAGAAACTGATAACTTTAGACTGACTTTCTATCTTCCACTTTGATCTATAAAAGTACCCCCAGTTTCCTGTGTCAATGGAAAATGGTGTGCTGGTGACAGTATAACTGTCACTGTGTTTCCATAAACTGAACTTAATGCATTCAGACAAACATCCAGGGATTTCACCTTTCTTTTAATTTTGGCATTTTATGTTTAGTAATTAGCAGAAAGCTTTTGAGGTTGGAAGCCCTTTTTACCATTCCCCTAATATTTAACTACCGCTGAATATTTTCTCTTTGAGGTATACAGCATGTATGTTCGCTGGCAACATCAGATAATTGTTCAAGATTAAAGCCCTTAAAGCTGAAATTGTTATGGGGAGTAATAATATTAATGTTTAGCTTTATAATTTAGTTATACGGTTGTAACTTTTGCTTTCTTTGAAACAAGGACAAAAAACTTAAAGCTTTAAAAAAAAAATGTAGCTATGGTATATGTCTTGGTGCTTCAGAAATTAAAAAAATATTGCTGTGGATTTTAAAGTGACTTAGTCAAAATCTAGGCTGAGCGTAAAAAGGCTACAAAAACTTCTGTGTGACTAAAATGACAAGTTTGCAAGAAACAGTTAAGAAAAATTCATAACAGTCATGCAAATTGTCGATTGCTGATATAAAAACAAACAGACAAAAACACTTTGCAGTTCTTGCTACCAAAGGTTGATCTACCAATTAGATCAAAGTTACTATTGCTTTTTGCTGCTTTTTTTTTTTTTTTTAGATTAATACACCTTTTTCTGATGATAACATGATAAAAAAAAACTGTTAAAAAGATCAGAAGAAATGTTTTTGGGAAACAACTGCTTGCATTAAAAGATTTTCAACACCAAGTAGGTCCTAATGTAATTACCTCTGGTTTTCTAAACTAGTTTTGCTACTTTGAATCTTAACTGCAGCATGTCATTAATCTTTTGTATTTTTTATCAGCTAAAACTAACATCATAAGATTCAGGTTACATTTTTTCCATACCAGAGATATACCACAAACCTCTTAAACATGCTGTGTTACACATCTCAGAGAAAACAGGATGTTGACTTTTTGTAGGAGGGTTTTTTTTTTTTTTTCTCAAGCAAACTAAAAGACGAAAATAAATGTATTGCAAATGAAACTGCAAACCAAAAAGTGCACAAACACATGCAGCAGATTCCTGTCAGATGCAGCTTCCTATCATGTCTGTTGGGCGTGTCTTACTCCAAATAAGACACTTTGCAGACAAATTTTCCAGTATATTTTACATTCACTTTTATCAGGTTACATCCTTTTCTGCAATGGAGAAAAAGCACATGCATGTTCGCCACAGCAGAGTTTTGAACTCCCGTTATTTATCCAACTGCAGAGGTAGGTTTAGACCAACAGCTGATGTTATTCTGCTGTTCAGTGTCTTGGTTGTAATGTTCATTCTGTGCAGGTTCAGAGAGGAGCTTCCATCTGTGTGTTATTCTGCTTTTTGGAGTGTTCTGCATCTGCCTCCTCATTGGACTTCTGATCGTGAATAATCAGTGTGAGTCTGCTTAGAAACCTTAAATGTATTTTATTTTAACTGTTTTCCTTATACTTAAAGACATCTTTTTTTCAGTTAATATAGGCTTTCAAGATCAAACAGAATTAGTAAAAAAAAATCTCTCTTTTTTTTTTTTAAGAACCACAAATCTAAGACCCTATGTCTAACATCCTTTAGCTTCACTGATTAAAAAATATATTCATTTTTTTATATTACTTGTTATTCTATGTTATGTCTAATGGATTAACCCCAAGCTGTATATAACTACTATAATTTAACTAAGCCCATAAGGGGATTACATTGATCCCATGGTGTATATGCGTTATTGTTTTCTTTTCTTTTTAAATAAAAAAAATGTAAGGTCACAGACTTTAAATTTAAAAAACTCCATATATATATATCTATATATATAGATATATATATAGATATATATCTATATATATAGATATATATATAGATATATATCTATATATATATATATATATATATAGATATATAGATATATATATATATATATATATATATATATATATATATATATATATATATATATATATATATATAGATATATATATATATCTATATATATATATATATATCTATATATATATATATCTATATATATATATAGATATATATATATATATATATATTCTTCTTTTGCTTGTCCTTCATGGTTAATGATTATCAATAATAAAAAACAGGAATAATAAAAACTTTATTCTTTTTCTTTCATTTCTAATAAAGACAAATATGACAAAGGGCGATTTCAAAAAACAACTTTAAAGCTAAAGAAGGAATCGGCAGAGCTGGAGAGTGCCCTGAATTTGGCTAACAAGAGTAAGTTCCCTCAATTTAAACAACTTCCCTGATCATTGCTCTTTGGAAAACACCACATATTCTTCTTCATTTTATGTTTTTTTGCTACTATTTTTTGTAGATGTGACTTTTAAAGGAGCACATCTTAACAACTTAAAGCATACCGGTAGAAGTATTACGAATAAGTGTCACAAAGAAGACAAGAATTATACTAAATATGATTAAACCTAACCAGATCTCTTGTGTCTCTCACTGGCCCTCTTTTATTTATTTATTTTCAGAGGGTGATAATAAATGTATTTCAAACGAAGAGCTCCAAAAAAATCTGACGGATCGACTCCGTGCCTGTGATGCTGCCCTGCTCAACAGGACCGAGGAAATGAAGCGGCAGATTGTCCTGCTCAGGGAACAGAATACAGAGGGAAGCAGCCAGAGTTTGTCTGAACAGAGTAAGTCCTGAACATCTCATTTCACTTATTGTTGTTTTTTAATTTATTGATTTGGAAGAAAATCACAAATACTCATGAAGTTTTTTGCTTAAAATCTGATGTAAATGAGACATTCTTTGTGTCTCATGTCCTTTTCTGATCTACTTCAGATAGCTCAGAATGCATTTTGAATGAAGAAAATGAGCTCTCCACACTCTCAGACAATCTGACTGCATGTCTCGAAGACAGAGATGAAAAACTCTCTTTCATATCCCAAGAGAAAGCCCTGCTGAACACCAAGGTCAGAAAGACAAGTGAAGAGTTGCTCCGGCTTTGCCATCTTTTTAAAAGTAAGTCTTTAATTTCTTGGTATAAAAAAAGAAGAAAGATGGATCAATTTTTCTTAATATTATTAGGATGCATGATAAGTTCATCTAGTTGCAGTTACATTTATTTAAAAAGAATTTTGAAAAACGTACCCTTAGTATTATGTGTGTTACTTTTCTCATTTACTTGGTTTATAATATTATGAAATATTATTATTATTGTTCATTTTGGGATTCCTCAATCCAGTGAGAAAAAAAAAAAAAACTTTACGAGATAGTAACACCTACAATTTATGTTACGGTGAGATTTCTTGTTTTTATTCCAGTTTTATGGTTCTGGTGTTATTTAAATTTTTTATTGAACTGCTTTGAGATCAAGTGAATAAACAGCAAACAGTAGATATATAAGTATGCTTTTATTTTGTATTATTTTGTTTTTTCTTTAAAATAGTATAACTAAAAATTATAGCTCATAATTTGATGATTCTGTCCGATTGTAGCATTTTTAAATGTTAGATGAAATGTTATAATCCATTATTCCGTACTTCAAAAACCTGCTTATTAATTTATTTTTTTTTACTTGTACTTTACAGTAATTTCACAATTGCTGCTTTTTACTTTTACATACGTAACATGTGATGAAGTCGTACTTACTCTTAGTTTTCGGTACTCTACCTACCTCCGGTCTTAAGACACCACTGACTTACGATCTTTTTTTTTATATATTTGTTGGCTTATTTTCTTCCTTGTTTTGTAATAAAAAGTCCCAACTATTATTATTATAATTTTTTTTTTTTATATAGCTCCACTTGTTTCATGCATACAAATTGCTTTATTATAATTATGCAGGGAGTTTTACAGTTTATATGGACACTGCAATGTAAATAGAGCAGAAAAACAGAAGAAGAAAAGGAAAAAAGAAAGAGAATAGATGAAAGAAAGAAGAGAAAGGAGACAATGACAAAACATTTTCAGTCTGCTTCATCACCTGTAACGAGATGAAAAAAGAACAGCACAACCGAAAGACATGGTACGAGATATACAATAAAGCAACACCTTGAAACTATCACTAAAGTAATATTATTAAGTCTGACATGTACTCTGTGTTACCTGAAGATATGAATGTGGGCTTTCTGTATGGAAGTGAATCTCTGAGTACCTGGAGCCAAGCACCTGTAATTGTTTGTGAGGGTGCATTTGTGCATGCAAAGTTTATCCATAGAAAAAAAAATGTCCCAACTATTATTGAAATATTAAAACCGTTATCCTCATCAGTCACTTTCTTCAGAATCTAAAGACTAAATTCTTAAGCATTCTTTGAACGTAAGAAGGACGTAGAAATTTATCTTTATAGAGATATAGAGCTGCCACCCAAGCAAAAGAGACATAGAGCTACAATAATAGAAGATTAAAACTTTTTAAAAAATAAACTTTCTATGTTTTTCCAATACCTTATAACAATTTATTTTTAATATTTCAACATTATAATATAATGCTATCTCAAAATAAGTAATATTTCAAATTTAATAAAAAAATCTGTACATATACAAGTAGAAAATTTGACCAAATATTTTATATGTTGTTTTGTATGACGGCATTCATAAACATGCATGTTTTATATTCTGAATTGAACGAGCACTGAAAATAAGATATTTTTTTAAAATTAAGCAATAAATTATGATTTAGCTACAATTTAATATCACAAGTGAAAAGGTTTTTTGTCATTATATAAGTAGGCATATTACAATAAAATAACACAACATTCTATAAACAATATAAATATATTGTAATAGCTTAAAGCTTTAATGTGACAGTGTGACATACTGTAGGTATATTCAATTTTCTAAGGGTTTTATCTCTGTTTCTCCTAATCTCTGTTCCTTCTCTTTAACAAGGAGAAGGAAGCTTTTATAAGTTAACTATTAAACAGTTGGAAAAATAATTTGACCCAATAAAATAAACATTTAAAACTGACTTTCAGATAAATACGAAACTAAACTGATTATCCTTTTTCAGATGCATCGTGTCCTGAAGACTGGGAAAAGGTAAATTGTTCTTGTTACATAACCTTTGGTCCTGGTACCTGGGATGAAGCCAGAAAGGACTGCATAAGCAAAGGAGGAGATCTGCTGGTGATAGAGGATGAAGATGAACTGGTAATCTGCATTTTTTTTATTTGGATGCTCCTGAAAGTGTTTCAAAAGAGACACTTTCTAAAACTGTTTGTGTCTGAAATTTTGATGCTTGTATTTTCTAAACATAATATAAATATAAGACCCTCAACAGCTGTATCTATTTATTATTCATTGATGAGAAGTCAGATTTTTATTTTCTTAATTGTGAATGTTCTCATTGAAACATTTATATAAGTAGTTAGAAGTTCAGTGGTGTAATATCCGAAATTAGGTACCAGAGATATCAATACTTTTTAATGGATTAAATGAATAACAAAACATCATAAAAAGAGATATAAAACTGTAATAGATCATATCTAACATGAAACCTTCTCTTTTTGACAGAATCGTTTATATGAAAAGAAACAGAAACCTGGTTATGAAGCTTGGATTGGTCTGACTGACAGAGAAACTGAGGGATCCTGGCAGTGGCTAGACGGATACTCTATGACTTCGAAGTGAGATCCAGATTTTCATTTGGTGCTAAAGTATCAATAACTAAGGATGGTAATTTCTTTTAGTTTGCACCATGGTTTTGGTATGCAAAAAAGCCATTAGTGCAAACTTAAGGGCTTACTTTAAAATATGTAACTGCTTTAAATCCTTAATGTTTTATTCCAATTACTGTTTTTAAACTAATTTTCTAATCCAACCAGCATATCTTTATTCCCAATAACTATCAGCAGTGTATCACTGACTCCTTGATACTGACCATTAGTCTGATATCAATAAATAAATCTGTTGAAAACCACATTTCCACAGCATTCCAAGTAACAAAGCAGTAAAGTTCAGGATGCTGCAGCATAACATATCAGTTTTTTCATTAGATGTTAATATATACAAAACAAGAGTTTCTTTATGATGGTCAATTTGACGGCGCCTCAAGGCATTTCTAAATTCAACAAGCTATATTGAGTTTGACAGTACGTCAGCTTCTATGCACTTAAGCTCTATTTTGTGTCTCAATAATTTATGATCTGTTGTAACTTTTGCTCAAAACATAATTTGATGCTGTTCCTTTAAAAGATTTACAGACGAAATTGCATTCTTTAATGAAATTTTGGAGCAGCCTAAGCATTAAGCATCAGCTTAATAAATAACCACAATGCAGCTCCATACTGTTCTGCCTCAGTGTCTTAAGATGTTTGAACAATGAAACAAAAACTTCTACCAAATATTTTTATGGTTGCAACATCTTCCTCCCTTGCAAATTCTAGAATTGAGCACTTAAAAAAAATCTAATTAAATTCTGATGCTAAGGAAAAACGGTACCATAATTCTCTCTTCCAGGTTGTCGGAGACGTATCAGCCTGATGGAGACTCCAAGCAGGAGGAGAAGGATTGTGCCCAAATAAGAAAGAATGATGACGGTTGGGTGTGGAATGATAGATCATGTCATGATTCCAATTTTTGGATATGTGAAAAGATACCAACTTTATTTTAAGAGATTCTTTTAATTCTACAGCAGTCAGGCAGACAATAATGAAAAGCTCAAAGCAAACAATGAACAACTGTTGATCTGGACAAGCACTTTTTCTGTATGCCTGCAGAAAATTTACTTACACTTCACTTAAAGCTATAACTGAAATTAGATGTTTAAGAAAGATATATAAAAATATTGCTATTTTAATAATCTGTAAAAAAAAAAATAAAAATACTTTCCTCTGTTGCTCACTGGATTGTTACTTGTAGACCTCCACATAGATGTTTCATTACCTGATTTGCTTCTCATTGGCAGATATGTTGTCTGGTTTGTGTATATAGGCTTTAAGCTCTTTCTCTCTGATGAAATGTGGCCATCTTTCCCACATTAAAAAGTAAAGATTATGTTTGTGAGGGCTGCCAAATACTAATGTGCCCTGTTATGTGTATTAAAACCAGTTAAAATAAAATTTGAGCTAAGATAACCTAGTTTTTGTGTGTTTGCATTTTTTTTTTTTATTATTTTGCTTTTTTATTGCCAAATGTTCTGTAGTCTCAGTTCGATGTTGTCATGACGCTGTTGGTTATGTTCAGTTCGGAGTTTACGCCGAAATCCACCTGTTTACATGGTCATTCTCAATACTATTTAAATGCAGCCATCATTAAAATTTAGTCTGAACAGGTAAAGGCAGCGAAATGACCAACAAGCACAGGAGAACATTGAGGACACAGAGCAGCATGCTGTTTACAGAAATAAAAATAAATGTCAGCGAATGTATAGTATAAGAACATGAAAAATAAAATTCTACATTTTAAATTAAATACATTTCAGAGTTTTGATGCAGGTCATTGTGAGCTGACTCAGTAAATAATTTATTTATTGTTTTTAAAACATTGTTTCAAGACATTTTTTTAAACCTTTCATATTGTGACTTACTATAATTTATTAGTGATTCTTTTTTAAATTTGCAGTACAATCAGTATTCAATGAATAAATAATTTGGTAAATTTCAAAAGTATTACAGATTTAATAATAAAGGACACATTTTAGTTACCGTAATACCGGTAAGCAACATAGAAGATGCTATAAGCAGCATACAAGATCGTCATCTTAAAACAGTTTGCATGTAGAAAAATACATGCAAATCAGTCAACAAGAGTAAATTGTGTGTAGATGAATGGAACAGATTGTGCAAACATGTTTTACTTTAATAGGTCAAGTAGTGCTAAAGGAAAGATATGCAAATAAAATTACCACCTGCAAAGTGATTTATCAGACCTGAAATGGATTAACTTATCACCTTTAAAACAATCGGGTGCAAATAATTCTGTGTTTTTTTGTAGGCACTGAAGTGATGACCGACAATAAAGTCAGAATCTGTAGGCATATGAACATATTGCAGGGTTAAAAATTATAATAGTTGAACAGCATCAATAGGGAAAAAGACATCTGGGTGGCATTGAATAATGCAGGAGGAAGCAAATGCATGTTATGTAATCAAACTAAAGCAAAAAAACAAAGCAAAAAAACTAAACAAAAAAACACCACGACTAAACTTAAATAGTTTTTTTGAAAGTGCTTAAAGTCAGAAGGATTTTTTTTTCTCCCTAAATGCAACTCAGTGCCTGACTACCCACCAAAACCGTTCTTTCTTCACTTTTAAATATGTGTGAGTATATAGGCTCTGTTTGAATTTATGGGCTGCATCCTCCAAGGACGCGGTCTACTTGGACTGGATCCTTCGAAGTCCTTGAAAATAATGAGACCGGAAGAGTTTTGGCTGTGAATTCGAACAGGCCTACCTTTTGGTAGGTGTTACCGGATTACGCTAAGTGGCTTAGCAACTGTGATAGTTGGCGCACAAAGCTGGAAAAGAATGAATACCTAAGTTTAAAAATGTTTTTGTTTATTTCTTTCTTTTTTATTGGAATTAAGGTTCCAACCACTGGGATATTAACAAATAAAATCAAATGTAATGATAGAAACTTTAGTCAGTTAAATAACATGCTGTTGTCATTTTGCACATCTCGGATGTTGCTGCTATTTTCAAATATTCATTACTGTAAAAATGTCCATAGATGGATATTGGTTATTTATTCTCCAGTTTTATATTGTTAAAACACTTTCTAGTATTTTATTGTTTATATTTTAACTTTTCCCTATTATGTTAGTCTTATACATTTTTCTAAGGTCCACATTTGTGTGACTATTTTCAATAATCTTTCTGCTGCTGTAAATTGTGGGACAATAAAGGGATTTTCTACTCTATGAAAGGGGTAGAAATATGTAAGTAAATCTAAACAATGTATGTATAAAGAATGTATCTGCAAAATCTCTAATATTCCACAAAAAATGTCTTTGTTAAGCATATTGTGCAAAATAGCAATAAAAAAAAAATAAAAACCCGATCAGATTTATAGATCCCACTCTGCAGATATATTAGAATCTGTCCTTAAATCACAGCCAAATCCATTTACACAGTAACAGATGAAAACTTTTAGATAAACTAAACATTACCGCCACATATCTGACTCAGTAACCATTAAAACAACTATTTTTATTAATCTCAGACGGAACTATTCACAGACTTGTATCATATTAAACTGCACTTCCAAGTTTCACCACTGTTCAGTGCCAAGTAACCTTTCCTCTAATCACGGAGCAGCCGGTTTGCTTGGTCTCGCAATGAATCCTGGGATATCCAAGGATACCGAGGATAGCTCGGACCCGTCCAAGAAAGTAAATCCAAGCTTAACTCTTGGCTCCAATGAGACCTCTCTATTTTAGAATGAATTTACTTATCCAAAATGGAATGTTTGTCAAGGTTAATTTACTGAGCTTATAGTACTGCCATCCCAAATAGCAAGCTAAACTATTAACCAAATGAACATGAACTTTATTTGGAGAAACAGGCCACACTACTTACGAAAAAGTCATATGGTCAAAGAAATTAAAGATGGCGGTCTGAAAGTAATTGACTTTGAATGTCTTAACGGAACACTTAAGGTTAACTGGTTGAAATCCTGGATTAAAAATTCTCATTTATTCTGGTACTGTGTTCCTAATTATATATTTAACAAAATAGGTGGTCTAAAACTTGTACTCTTAGCTGATTACAATATACATAAATTACTCATTAAACTATCAGAGTTCCATCAACAAGTATTACTATACTGAAAAAGATATTTGTTCATAACTACTCACCACACTCCTCTATCATATGGAATAATAGATTTATTCTACATCGCAATAAATCATTATTCTACAAAGATTGGATGGAGAAGAATATTTGGTCTATTATACACTTAATGGACACTAATGGTTACATATTAAATTACGAACAATTCTGTACAAAATATCAGTTCCTCCCTCCAAAAGATGAATTTACAAGATTACTTAACGCCTTGCCAGAACAATTCATTGATCAGATTCAAAATATAATAATATATCATCCAATTACCCCAACACTACCTAATTTATCTATTAATGGAATATCAATCACTGACCAAAAATTCAATAACCACACAATTAGAAACTGTCTAAACAAAACTTTGTTCCCTGGGGAAAAAAATAAAAATAACATTCTTTGCAAATTTTAGCAAAAATCTATTGAAATACTAAGAACCTTTTTTTTTTTTTTTAAACTTCCCATTCAGCCAAAAGCTAAAGAAACTCACTTTAAAATTTTAAATGCAATTTACCCCTCAAAAGAACTACTAAGAATTCGTTTTAATATTGATGACAATAAATGCTCATTCTGTGAAAATGATGTAGAAACTATAGACCATGTCTTCTATGAATGCAGTCAGACTAAAACATTTTGGAATGCTTAGAAAGATGGATTAAATCAAAAATTGCACTCCCTAACTCTATCTCTAGAGATATGGTAGTTTTTGGAATACTATTGAAAGACAAAACAATAGAACTCTGTTGTAACCTAATTTTATGTTTAACAAAATTCTTTATTCATAAACAGAGAGTATTGAGATCATCCTCAATCTTAAGTATGTTTTTATCTGAATTCAAGTTATATTTGACATCTCTTGAATGTATCGAACCTTACAAATACCTAACTGAAATACTAATGGAACTGCCCACTGATGTACATTAATCCTAACATATAAATCCCCTTGTTTTTATATTAATTATTGTTTCATTATATTCACCCATTCTTTATTTTCCTTATCAATGTTACTTTGTATTTCCATTTAAAAAATCTGCCTCTACTATGCCTTCCATAGAATTGTAATGTTGTTATGCCTTACTTGTTTGTACTTACTTTTTTAAAATAAAGTTCATTTAATAAAAAAAACAAAAAAAACAAACAAAAAAACATCAGACCCGTCCTTCAAATCGGGCAAAAAGAAGAACACATTTTAAGGCCGCATAACGAGGAGTCGAATCCGACCAGACCTCGGCGCCGCGCTATGACATAATCGTCCTTCAAATTTGGCCTTCTAAGGACGTGTCCCAGGATTTCGATCAGAGCCATAGTGTTTGCACACTCTGTGGGCCTAAATAACTAAAAAAAAAAAATAAAAATTGGAAAAAATTTGGTTTTTAGTTCTTACAGATAACTATCTCCTTTAAATGAGTTACAGCTATATAATTATTTTGGATCATGTGCTCTGCTGTAGATTAACAAACCTTATTTGAAATCTTTTAAGGTCATGCCCAAAGCCTGTTTACTTTATTGTGTAGGTTATGAAGACTGATATTTCAGGTTGCAGTTCTATTTATATCATTCATTAGAAAAAAATGCCAATTTACTATTGATGCTCACACATACACTCACATATTTACACCACTATATTGGGATCTTTTCTCTCTCTATTTCGGTTGTTGTTGTTTTTTTAGTTAAACTATATCACATTTTTGTTTTTTGGAAGTAAGGAAAAATATATTTTTTACTTTTTACATAACAAACTCTTAGGTATTTCTCCACCTACCATCTTATTTTTTCCAATAATTAAAATTGTCAGGTTTGTTGGATTGTTAGTTAGAGGCATTGTGGAGAAATAAGGAAATCAGTAAAAACAAATGACAGAAACTTTCAACCAGGCTCGAGAAAAACAGTGCCTGACAGAAAAATAAAAATAAATAAAAAGTGAAATTGACAAAAGTTACATTTAAAGATTAAATATGAATATTAAAACACTGGAAAAGCAGAATCTTCCTCACAACTGCTGCTTCAGGAAAAAATGTCGCTAACTGAGGAAGACCCAAAGCATTCAATATAACAAATATATGATTCCATTTATCAGTCAGATATTTAGAAAAATCTAGTTTGTCTTTAGTGAAAAATATGGACTGTCATGACGTTTTTAAGAGATCTGACCCACATGCAGAAAACCACTCAGAGAAACTAGAGTAAAAGTTTAACAGGTTTATTGAGGAGTTCAAATGGGTTGGATTCAGGGGAACTCAAAGAGCTGGTGAACCGGAACTGGAGGTGAGAAGGGAAGCTCACAGAGGTTAGTTCAGGGTCCGTGGGAACTTTGAACGACTTCTTGCAAAAACAGAGATAAACGGGACTCACAATTGCGGAGAAAGATTTCTTCCCAGAATTCAGTCGGCGTGGGTTTTTCCAGAGATAGAGGGGCTTGTTGGAGGGCGGACAGGTTTTGGTTTGGTTGGTTCCTGAGAAGCAATGTAGCAGACTGCCACTTAGATTTCCTGGAGAACTTGAACGGGACGTGTGGAGATTAATCCCCTGCTCAGTGTGAAGCTCAGACAATCCTTCCAGGAGGAGAAGGCCAAACATCCAGTATGCAGGATGACTTCCTGCCGAAAGGCAAAAGACAAAAATCACGTTAGACTCAGAGAAACAAAGACTCAGTTAGACTCAGCTAAACTCAGCTTGGCTAGAGTACCCAAAATTGACAAACACTCTGGCGTCGAAGTAATGACAGTCCACCTCGTAAGAAGTCCTCAGTAATGAGCCAACCAGCCGAAGGTGTGTGGGAGGACCAACTAGAACAGGGCGCCACCTGGTGGTGGAGGGGGAAAACACAAAAACACAACCCACACAGACTGGATTCCTAACATGGACGTGCTCATTCATTTTCCTGTTGTAGCAGTATAGATTCACCCTGAGGTTCTGGCACCTTTCTGCAAATCGGTCTGTAGGCAGAGATCAGGTCCGCAAAGGTGTAATCTAACATTCACAAGCAAGAACTGCTTTATCTTGATCTGTAGTAGCTGTAGATCTGTGTTAATTTACTGTGGTTTCTGGTTGGAAACTTCATGAATTTGAGATTAAAATCTCCAACCTATCATTATTTCTTGGTGGTTGGTTAGAAGATGAGTTCTGTATCCAGTCAAAATGCTCTGCATGACACTGCCAGATATTCTAAATTAGATAGACTTAGACTTGTCATTTTGTACACACAGGGTGTGTACAAAATTTTGTTTTGTACAGCTCTCATAACATTTCCATTTCTTAAAGTGAAACAAAATTTTCACAATGATCAAATATTCACAATTACTGGCCACTTTTTCACCAAAATAACTCTTGCTCTTGAACTGGTGCCATTCAGCTGGCTTGAATGGTTGGTGCTCCACAATGTGAAAGGGGAGCGTAATAGCAAGATGAATTTGTTTACCTGCATGAACTACGTTTAAAGCTGTTTCATTCAATGATGAAAGAGATCAATAAACTATAGTCAAAAAATGGTTTTGACTCAAATGATCGGCTACATGTCTTTGGGTTGCTTTTCTTTGATTGCCTTTAACGATTCTTAAAAGTTGTCCACGCATAGCTGATGTTGACAGATACTAATGAGTTGTGTCCCATCTCTCCTTAGGACTGACATTAAAGTACCCCTAAATTTCTTGTCTTTTCCTAAATGAAACAGCAATTGTTTACTACACTACAGTGTCTCTCAATCCTGCTTATCATGCTGCCTTGTTTGTTTCAGACGTCTCTCTTCGGTAACATACCTGATGCAGACACTTTCGGTTCATCAAAGTCTGTTATTCCCCCATCAAATTAAATCAGGTGTGCTGCAGCTGAAAAAACTAATGGAACATGCAGAGCAGTATGCCAGGGTTGTAATATAATCCAATACAGTATAATCTTCCTAAAAATGCTGTGCTGGAACACTGGCTGTGTTTCCAGCAGTTCAGCCCTTCTGTATAGGAATAATGTTCAAAGGGGTGAAATCATAAACAAAATCACAAAGAACAACGTAAAGAGACATAGGTCGTCTATTCCTATCAGTTGAAACAACGGCTACTAAATAAAGCATCTTTAAAGGAAGTAAACATAGTATTGAAATTAATTGATATGGCAATGTGGGTAAAGTGTAAAACAAGTTGTGTGCACTTATTTCACCCACTGGAATAAAAGTGTAGTCGAGTTCTTCTCAGGCTGATTTAAATAAATATTCCAGGGAATTTCAGACTAATGGGAACACCAGGCTGAAAGATTCCCCAGAATTCCTTTTACCTGAGTAAAACTAATTAATGGGCTTTAAATTCTGTGAGACTATAGTGGAAAGGTGGCGAATAAAGAAAGTACATGAAACCTCCGCCTACACTTGGAAACTTCTGCTGGAGATGTCTTGATGTTAACTAAGATGTCATTTCCAAGTTCCTCAAATGCATATTGACAATCAATAGAAATAAAAATAAAAACCTTTAAAATTAGAAATTTGAATCATACAATTAGAAATCCGATTTGAAAAGCATTTTCTAATTGCACATATGAATTTAATTTTTAAAGAGGAATTGTAAATTGCATTTATTATGTCACAGTCTTGGTTCTGTTATGTTTTCTTTTGAGTATTCAGTTTTACTTTGCTCCATGTTTTCTAGTTTTTGTGGTCTGTTGCCCTCTTGTGTTCTCCTTTTTCCTTAGCTCCTTCCCTGTGTTGTGGGAAAATTTTTATCTTTCTTCTATTTTATATTAATTTATCATATTTACTCACATTAAAAGTTTTCACTCAGTCTGTTTCTCTCTCACACATTTCTCTTGTTGGCTGGTGTTTGTAGAACAGACATAGCTTCTTCCCATAACAAATCAGGTTCTTTCTCAAGGTTTATTCATAACATGTTACTATTAACCAAAGTGTGTGTAATTTGTTATGACTCTGACTGTGTTCCATTGTTGTAAGTAAGGGGGGGCGAACCCTGCCCAGATCAGAACAGAGCAGAATGCTATGCCATGAAGGCTTCATGATGACTTTTCTCTCTTTGCAAAGATTATTAATAAATGTGCCAACTGAGTGAAATCCATCGATCTCCGTTTATTTAACTAGGATGAATAGTTGAATACTTTTTTCCCACGACACCTGTCTGCTCTGTTCACACCTGCTCCCAATCTGCTCGTTAGTCCTCTCTTTGTTCTGTCTCCCTTAAATACACCCTTTTTGCAGTTCCTCAGTGCTGGTTCCTTCGACCTACACCATCTTACAGTGTCTTACCTCGTCATGATTGTCTTCCCCTGATGTTCCCTTGGTTTCTGGTTTGTTTAACCTTTTTCTTGTTGGATTTTTTTTGGGGGGGATTTTTGAATTCCTGCCTCTGTTGTTTGTTTACCTGGCATTAGATCGACAAAAACTCACCCCTGCCTCTGCATTTCGGTCCACAAACCTCAACCCAACTCTGACAAATAATCCATTACTTTCTACTGCAATTTAAAAATGTATTTCAAAATCCTATTTCTAAATGTATATTTAAATAACCACAACTCATGAATCTGATTATAAATAGCTTTCCTAATCTCACATTTGAAAAGGTAATCCCATTTTTATTTTCCTCTTCACCTTGCATTTTACAATCCTTCTCATAGTTGCGTTTTCTTTTTATTTTACCTTCTCCACTTACATTTCTGTGACCCTTCTGGTTAGGAAACGACTGCTTTTCTTTTTCAGAGACTCTTCTGATCCTCCATACATGCATGCCCACTAAAAGGTTCACTTCAAAGTTAATGTTTGCAATCAATATGCATATATGTTAAGCCACTACATGTCTAGTTCTATATGAAAATGAAATAACAGACCTGCTGACTTGGTAACACCTTAAATATAGAAAGTTAGTAACCCCTCTAAAAAACAGAGGAGAGGGAGATGAGGAAGGCTAAATCTGTGTATGCAAATCGCCTCCAGCAGCAGTTCTCTGCCAACGACTCTGCCACAGTGTGGAGGGGCCTCAGGGCTATCGGTCTTTGACAGTGTACGTCACTTCCGCAAAAGCGCAATGCATTTAGGGTAGTTAGCGCCATTTCTGTGGTGAAGAGACAGCAGCAACAAACAAAGGAAAACTAACAGAGAGTAAAAGTGTTCTAGTGCACACTGGTGCTGCTTCAAAGGATGCAATAGTAATTCTAAACAGAAAACAGCAGATGGTGCCTTACGGTTTTTCGTATTCCCCACTTGGAAAAAAAAAATACGGACCGCAGACAGAGGACTTGACAAAGAGGCGTCGGGCTGCATGGGTCGCTGCTGTAAGAAGGAAAGACATCACGTTTCATAAAATATCTCCTCATGCTTGTGTTTGCTCTCGGCATTTTCACAAAGGTAAGTCCTTATAAATATACACTAATAGAAATCAACACGCTGAAATGGTTTGCTTATAAAGTTGCAGGAGTGTATGTAAACCTACTGAAACATGCTGTGGAAGAGAAGCGGAAAGTGATGTTTGTTTTGTTTATTTCTTTTTTAGACTGCTAAAATTTGATAAATAATGCATTCTCTGTATATAATCATTTACACAATCTGCAATACAAATATATATTTTTTAATGAATAAATATATATAAATACACTGTACATATAAAAACACTGTACATACCCACTCATCAGCCAACTCACTCTATTTATTCATCCTGTGCAATCTACTGAAGTTTATTTATTATAATCCTTTGTTCGTCTGTAAGCTTTTCAGTTTATTTATTTACCTCTGGCCTTACTAGTCCGATGTACTTGTGCTGTTTCGGTATAGCAAATTTCCCCACTGTGGGAAACATAAGGTTATCTTATTTTATTACACATCTAATCTAATGGGCTCTGTTATTAAGGTGCTTTATATAGTGTTTTGAATAGATGTGTAAAACACTCAACCTTTCATCTACTTTGCAGGTCAACCCGCATATGAGCTGATGGAGACTGACCCAGACTGGGCTCCATCCCTGCATCTGGGCCACACTGACATCAGACCAACAGACACAGAACGCTCTTTAAGATGTGGTTATCGGGAACAGCTGAAAAAGAATGCCCTGCAAGCAACTGAAACGGGGCTCCATCAGGCTGATGAAATCCTTGAGCAACAGGATGAAGTTACACATGAGGCGACAGAGAACCCTAACCAGCAACAGACTGACACGCAGAAGGCTGCTGGAAACGTTGGCTGGCCAAACACCAAGGATGACACAGAAGGTGGTCGTCAGGAAGGACAGACAGAATGTAACCTGTGTGTGCTCAGGTGTGCAGAGATGAACCGTCTTTTGGAAGAAAACAGAGAGCTGCGGCGTGAACTTGATGAGCTGCGGATCTCTGATGGCTTCTTTGGAGACAGTAATGAAAAAGTCAAGTACTATACGGGTCTACCAAACTTGGCAACCTTTATGGCTTTGTTTAATTTTCTGCTGCCTCTCATGTCTGCTCAAAATAAAATTCTCAGTCCATTTCAAATGCTTCTGCTAACCTTCATGCATCTGAGATTGGATCTGCCCTCACAACACCTTGCTTATCTCTTCCGTGTTTCACCAAAGACAGTGTACAGAACATTCAATGAAATGGTGTCATTTCTATATGCAAATCTAAAGCGTGCAATTGTGTGGCCAGTTTGTGGAGGCCTTTGGACATAGAGTCACAGTGATTATTGACTGTTTTGAAATTTTCACAGAGAAACCAGCTAATAAATGAATGCCAGATCAAGAACTGTTTCAACTTTATTCTTCTTTTTTTATTCTTCTTTTCACACAAATAGAATTTTGCTTTTTTTAAAGTTACTTTTGAAAAATAACAGCAAAACAAATATAAGTTTCACCATCACTTCAAATATTAACAATGTTTCTGAAGTTGTAAAAATGTCTGTACAATAAAGAGTGGAGTTGAAATTTGAAACAAGCGTTGTTATTATCTTCTCAATCAAGCAGAGAATTTATGAAAATGCAATACAAAATCTGAAATACATAAATAATGCAGAACAGTGCAAAGCTTCAAATGTTTTACTTTGTCTTCCTCCCTCGTATATAGCAGATTGCTCTTTAGATAAATTAGAAGATTTTCATTTTCCCTGGACTTGTTTTCACTGTGGTCTTCCGTAGAGATCTTACCTAACAGGTGATATCTGTGAAGAAGACTGCAGATCCCAGTGAAAACAGGCCTGGGTAAAGTGAACAGCAAATACAGTGTGCAACTTATCAATGTGCAAAAATTATGACAAGTTTTTTCGTTCAGTCTGATGAGCAGCACAAACTACTCTAATAACTGCAGCTATCTGTGCAACTGCCCACAACATCTGCCTTGTCACTGTAATAATAATATATAATATCGTTCCCTAGCAGCTTTAGAAAGTTTGTCTGGGTAGGGTATCCGTTCAGTTTTCTTGTTCTTTTCCATTTAACTGATAATCCTCGCTGCTGGCTTGCAGCGCTCTCCTCTTGTTTTCTGCTGTTTTGTTTTTCTTCCGCTCACCACAAAAATGGCGCTAGGGGGCGTGTCAGTCACGTGACTGACAAAGACCGATTACCAACTACAAGCCCAAAGCCCCCCGAGCTCTGAATGACCGGGCACTGTGTGAAAGACTGAATACACACTACTGCCGTTTCGACTGTCCCAGAGCCGTTAGCACCTCTCTGGTCTCTCCAGCCACCCCCTCCTCCCCCAACACAATTGAGGCCACTCCATCAAAGGCCCCCTCAATCCACCCCTTGTCCCCCCCTGCCCTCTGCATGCTGGAGCAGGACGTGCACGGACAGTTTCTGAAGCTGAACACCCGTAAAGCTGCTGGCCCTGACGGCGCTTCTCCCTCCACCCTGAAACACTGTGCCAGCGAACTGTCTCCTGTCTTCACGGACATTTTTAACATCTCCTTGGAGTCATGCCATGTGCCGGGCTGCTTCACATCCTTCACCATTGTTCCTGTCCCGAAGAAACCAAGGATCACTGGACTAAATGACTATAGGCCGGTGGCGCTGATGTCTGTGGTCATGAAGTCCTTTGAGCAATTGGTTCTGCAACACCTAAAAACCATCGCCGCCCCCCTCCTGGACCCGCTGCAGTTCGCCTACAGTTCCAACTGGTCCGTAGACGACGCAGTCAACCTGGCCCTCCACTTCATCCTGCAGCATCTGGACTCCCCAGGAACCTACGCCAGGATTCTGTTCGTGGACTTCAGCTCTGCCTTCAACTCCATCCTCCCAGGTCTGCTCCAGGACAAGCTGTACCAGCTCAACGTGCCCAGCTCCCTCTGCAGGTGGATCACTGACTTCCTGACGGACCGGAGACAGCACGTGCGGCTGGGAACAACTGTCTCGGACACACGGACCATCAACACCGGATCCCCCCAGGGCTGTGTCCTTTCCCTCTGGCTTTTCACCTCCAGCCATCAGTCCGTTAAACTGATCAAGTTTGCGGACGACACCACCCTCATCGGGCTCATCTCGGACGGTGATGAGTCTGCCTACAGGAGGGAGGTGGACCGGCTGGTGTCCTGGTGCAGCAGCAATAACCTGGATCTGAACGCCCAAAAGACAGTGGAGATGATCGTGGACTTCAGAAAAGTCACAGCCCCACCGTCCCCCCTTGCCCTCACAGACAGCCCTACCCCCATCTCCAACGTGGAGTCCTTCCGCTTCCTGGGCACCACCATCACCCAGGATCTCAAGTGGGAGTTGACCATCAGCTCCCTCGTCAAGAAGGCCCAGCAGAGGATGTTCTTTCTGCGGCAGCTGAGGAAACTTAAGCTGCCAACCAGGATGTTGGTGCAGTTTTACACCTCCATCATTGAGTCCATCCTCACCTCCTCCATCACCGTGTGGTATGCTGGCACCACCGCCAGGGACAGATACCAACTGCAGCGCATTGTGCGCTCCGCTGAGAAGGTGATCGGCTGTAAGCTGCCATCACTCCAGGACCTGTATGTCCCTTCTCACCCTGGACACAGTCTGTTTGAACCTCTCCCCTCAGGGAGGAGGCTACGGTCCATACGGACCAGAACCTCCCGCCATAAAAACAGCTTCTTCCCCTCTGCCATAAGACTCATGAACACATAACTATATGTCAGACTCCATAACCTGCCCATGCCATTTACACTGCTGTATTGCACACTGCTCTATTTGCACTACCTTGTACATTTTACTTTTTATATATTTTTTTATCCATATTTTTATCCTAAGTGTATATATTAGTCTATTTTTTGCATGCCTTATACCCCAGTGTTTTTAGAGATTTTTATAATTTTATTTACCTATTTCATATTATATGTTTCATGTTGCACGATTGTACCATAAAAAAATCCTAGTTTGTGAACTCCTTCACTAACAATGGCAATAAACCCGATTCTGATTCTGGTATTAAATTAGAAGAGGGTTAAGCATTTGTTGGAGAGTTTCATTTATTTAAACAAGAAAAAAAGGCTTTATTCACTTAATGTTGGTACTTTTTCACAGATCCAGAAGAAAGAAATTTCACATGAACGATCATTCCAAGATGCCTTCTTATCAGCTCTGACATGTACACAGTCCTCCTCACCCCACACTGGGTTTCCTCCACCGTTATCAGGCTGATCCTCCTCCCAGTTCCTAAAAGATTATTGAAAGATAGGATTTATTATGATATTAGTGTTTTACAGCACATTGAAATTACCTCTTTTGTCCAGTTATTCCCTTTTTCCTTTGTATGACTTTAATGAAGTCAATAATATACAGGGGTGAAATAAGTATTCAATACACGCCACCATTTTTCTAAATAAATATATTTCTAGAGGTGCTATTAAGGTGACATTTTGACCAGATGTTGGTGACAATCCATGCAATGCACATATACAAATAAATCTAAAACATAAAAAAAAAAAAAAAAAAAACACTGGATCTTGTTTTCCAAGTTTGAAGATGAAGTAAAAAAACAAAGTCCAATTGTCTGTTTTTTTTTTTACTTTTTGTGCATGACTATGACCTGGATGACTGATAATCTTCACTGGCATACAAAGAAATCAAACTATAGATTAAGTTATGAAAACACTTACGCAGCAAGTGTGTTTGTAACTCCAAATTGAGGATGTATTAGCGCCCCCACGTCAGCGCATGTCACTGCATGAATTGCAGGTAAACTAACGCGCTGCTCTCAACTGAGTTGGATGGGACACTGTGCGGCCGCGACGCATTTTTAGTTCTGGTAACGTTTCTTACCTGTCAATTTTATTATTTTCCCAGTTAACCACATGATTTATAGGCTACTAACTGAAAATTACGGCATTGGTTTGTAGATGGATATCAGGAAATTCCTCACACGAAGCAGAGACAGGGAAGCAGTAAAACAAGATGAGAGGGAGGGAGGTAAGGTACCGTAATGAATTAGTGATTTAAGCTAAGCAGTTACATTAGGGACGTTATAAGCAATATGATAGATATTTACATAATTATAAATTTACGTTTTTTGCTGTAGAGGATGAGAATGAAGGTGCTGGAGTAGGAAAGGGAGGAGGAGGCGAGACTGACAGGCAAGAGACAGGTGAGAGACGGGACCATGAAGGTGATGAGGGAGCAACAACCAGCGTCCACAAATAAGAAGGGGACATTAGTGATTTAGGGGGAAAGCATGATGGTCCTAAACAAGTGAAGTTGTCCCACTCTCCCCAGCACAAATTTGGAGTTAAAAAAACTTTCATTTAATTCAAAATGATTTGAAAGCTTTTGGTTGAAAAATAAAGCCTTGTCATCAAGGATATGCAGTGTGTTTTCAACTTGCTTGATAACACCATGTTCCCCACACTAACGCAAGTCATCCAGATCTCCCTCACAATCCCAGTCAAAAGCTGTAGTTATGAAAGGTCATTCAGTGTGTTGAGAAGGATCCACACTTGGCTGAGGTGCACAATGGGACAAGACAGGCTCCATCATCTTGCTATTTTATCAGTTGAAAAGGAAGAACTTTCTAAGCTGAGTCACAGTCAAGTGATTGACCGCTTTGCAAAAATGAAAAATAGGAGGTACACTTTAATGCTCAAAAAATAAAAGAAAAACTTAGTTCATGTTGAGTTAAACTTTCCCCTGAACTAAAACTCTGAAACCTATAGGAATTAATGATTACTTTGGAATGTGTATAAGAAAACGTTTTATTTTTTATAGCTGCAATGTTGAAAATGCTCATGTATGTTAAAACAAATATGCTCTTACACTCATTAATATCTCAACTGGTAATATTGGTAGGAATGTATCAGGGTGGGGCAGTGTGCTTGTCTGTATTTGTGTATGGCAGGAGGGGCATATGCGGTAGGGGGCCAGTGCCCCAGTAAAGCTTTGTGCCTAGCAACGCCCCTGGTTGACAATAAAGAAATAGATTGACATTGATAAATTTAGAAATCCTTCTGTAACCAATGCCATCATTATGTTTTGCAACAATAAGGTTCCGAAGGTCTGGAGAAAGCTCTTTGCATTTACCCATCATGAGATGTTTCTTGTGTGATACCCGAGACACTTTTTTCTAGGCCATCATTTGGGACTAAACCAGCTGATATTAATTTGCACTGACAAGAAGGATTGTATTCTAATTACTGGGAGACAATTGGTGGTGTCTGGGCTTTCAATGCTTTTTTGCACCTCCCTTTCTTTACGTGTTTAATACTTTTTCCCAGTGCTTTTTCACTTCAATGGACATAACTTCCTTTCTAAACATCTATTCAATTCAATTCAGTGTATTTATACAGTGCCAATTCACAACACCTGTCACCTCAAGGCACTTTACAATTAAACCAGTTCATAAAGTCGAATTGATTCAAAGTTTTCTATCTAAGGGAAACCAGTTGAATGCATCGTTTCATTGACTCGAAGGCAATCCCTCACACTAAGCATGCTTGTAGCGACAGTAAGGTAAGAGAAAAAAAAAATAAATAAAAAAAAAATAATATATATATATATATATATATATATACAGGAGACTGGACAAGAAGAGATGTTGGGAAGAACAAGGTGTTAAGTTCTGTTCCTCGGTTAAAAACAATCTAAATTTTAAACAGTAGCTCGAGATCTAAGGATAATTTAATGTTTAAGTGTATATTTCCCTTGTTAATGTGTTGAGACTGTCATGATGGGTATTAGTGCTAGCCCAAGATGCAGAAACACTCACGGAGAAACTGGGTAAAAGTCCAAAAGAGTTTATTGTGGCACAAACATGAGTAGTGGGAAAGGAACAGTTCAGGCAGGAGGCTGATTGACTGGGGTCTGTGCAGGGAACGTGAAATGGCTGGATAACAGAGATCACGAGGGGCTAAGCCTCTAGCTTCAGGCTAGCGTGGCAGTCCTTGATTTGAGCTTCCAGCTCACTGCAGAGAACAAGGGGATACACGAAGGACTCTAGAAACTGATTCTTCGTAGGAACCTCCAGGGAAACTCCACATAGGAGTCTTCAGGTTTCACCACGTAGGAATCTTGGGTTGGCTCACCAGGGCAGATTAGCTGGTTAGTTCTCCTTTGAGCTTCAGGCTTGAAACTGGTCACCAGTGATGCAACTCTCCCAGAGCTGCAGGCCAGAGACAGGTTGCCAGAGAGACAGCTCTTCCGGAGCTTCACGAAGAGACAGGAGGAGGAGCTCAACCAGAGCTTCACGAAGAGACAGGAGGAGGAGCTCAACCAGAGCTTCACGAAGAGACAGGAGGTGGAGCTCATCCAGAGCTTCACGAGGAGACAGGAGGTGGAGCTCATCCAGAGCTTTCACGAAGAGACAGGATTCCTGTGAGACAGAGACAAGGAAGAATTAGAATCTAATCTCACACTAGAGATAACAAGATTCTTCAGTAGCTGAGGCTCAGGAAGCTAACCAACTAAGATCAACACTGCGGCGTGGGATCAAGGTCAGGCAGGAGCTTATAAAGGAGAGGTCTTCTAATAAGAGGATTAGGAACAGGTGTGCAGGAAGGTTCCAGCTCCAGAAGACCCACAGCGCATCCTGCTGGAGACAGAGGGTAATCTCCAGATCCCCACAGTAACTCCAAACCTAAGGGAAAAAACAAAGAGAGCAGAAGAGGATCCTCGGCGCCCTCTGGTGGGCAAGCCTGAGGATCCCAACAGAGACATTGTATTACAAAAATAACCATAATGCTTACTACACTAAGTTCACACTATACACAAAGATGTAATAGGAGCAAGGGATTTCAATGTTATCCCTATGCAGAGGGGTGTTTAGGAGGTACTTAACGGCTGGTGTTGCGAAACTCTGATCATATTGAGGCATGGTCACGGTTTTCATCTGCTATTTCTGTTTCCAAAGCTGCAGATGGGTTTTGATTTCCTTGAAATTTCAAACAATGAGCCATCATTTTCTTTTTTTTTTTTATTCATGTGGTGCCCCAATAAAAAAAATTAAAAAACCACTGGCAGTTGGCCCTGCTAAATTTGGTCTTAAAGGAATAGTACACCCAAAACATGATTAGCCTTCATTTTCTACTCACCCCCATGCTGAACAACACCCTGGAGTACTTTTTTGATATCTCAAATGCATCTGGAGGTCTGGGAGGCTTCTTGCTGTCTGCTGAGCACACTTCCCCTGCTCATGCTCGCTGAATGTGGTAGATGAATGAGAAGAGCCATCACAGGCAGAATGTTTAGCCATGCACTACAAATTTTGTAATCATAGAATTCAAATTATTTATTTCGGCACCTTTAGCAAAGGGATGGGCAACCTTGTAACTTATACTGCGAGGTTACTGTTAGGGTTCCTGTTTGTGGGGGTTGTTTTTGTGTTCTTTTTTTTAGTGTCTCCATTGTTTCTCTGTTGGCCTGGAGGGCTTCTTCCTGGTTTCTACTACCCACACCTGCAGCTCGCTGGTCATTACCATCTTAGGAGTATATGAGCAGCGGACTGTCACCATCCCCTCACCAGAGTGTTTGCCCGTATTGGGTACTCTAGCCCCTCTGAGTTTAGCCAAGTCTAACCTTTGAGTTTTCGTTTCTATGAGTCCTCTAGTTCTAACCCTTTGTCTCTCTTGTGGCAGGATTATATCCTGATCAACTGGATAAAGCTGGACCTTCAAGCCTTGGTAGGAATTAATTAGTCTCTCTGAGAGAAAGAAACTATTCACCAGATCAGTACACAGTCCACTTCAGGAAAGCTTGTGAAAGTCTGCGCCGCTGCTCCTCTTGACCACCATTAGTCTGCCTGTCCGCCCTCCAGCAAGTAATCTCTTAAACTGAACAAGCCCCCCCACAAACAGGAACAAAGGAGCAACCACAGACCTCTACAGTGAGTCCTTATCTGGCTCTTTTCAGTATTTACCTGTTTTTTCCTATGGACTGTAGAGTCATATGTTTTCCTTGTGAGAAAGTGTGCCTTTTCTCTTTTCCTGAATAGGAGTGAATACTTAGAAGCTTATCCCCTAGGGGAAAACTTCCTTTCATCATAGAACAAAGCTTCTAAGTATTCACTCCTATTCAGGAAAAGAGAAAAGGCACACTTTCTCACAAGTAAAACTGACTCTACAGGACCTAGAACTCATCACTCTGATCTCTTCCTAGAGTTTCCGCTTCCAGTTCACCAGACCACTGGATATCCCCCAAGCTGTGAAAACCATTGTTTTGTCTCTCTGAGCTTCCCACCTTTCAATAAACTTTTAAACTTTTTCCCAGCCTCTGAGTTTTTGCTTCTGCATGTTGGCTAAACATTTAAAACCCATCATGACAGTTACCTCGTGTCTCTGCCCCGACACACCTGATTTTAATAGATTAGTCACCATTCAGAATTCAATAGGCTGTGTTGGAGCTGGTTGCATGGAACACTAAAAGGACTGTGGCCCTTGAGGGAGTGACAGAGTAAGCCAAAAGTGTTATCTGGCATGCAAGTTTTATAAAGTGGCATAGGCCAGTTGGAAACGGGTAATGTCAGTTGGAAACCAACAGATCCCAGTTGAAAAATTGCATACACCAGTTTATTCAAAGGCCCTACATCAGTGCTAAATATCCTAATCTGGTTTTATTGACAATATGTTTTTGCAGTTATGATAAAGTATATTTATGAAGTTACATTAGTAAATGTGCGTGTGTGTTGAAAAACAAACAGTCATACCGCAAAAACTTGTAGTTTTGTTTGCTTTGACAATGGGACTAAATGTTCCGAAAACGGCAGCATATTGTCAGTATAACAGTGCAGGGTGAGTGATCTGCTAAGCATTAGCCTTCCACCATCTTGTTCATCTGTGGTTGCCAACAACAGGTGATTTCCACCCCGTGCAGCATATAGTCATGCAACATCAGATCAATGAAAATATAATTTTCATACATTCAGTTTTGAAATAATAAAAAAAATCTTCACATTAAAAACCAAGTATTGTTAAAACATAGCCAAACATTTTATTGAGATATATATCAGTTTGTAGTAGGCTAAGTGATGCAGTCCAAAGTCATTTCAAAAACTAAAGATAAATTACAAAAAAGAAATATTGTTTCCAACTGACATATGCAGGTTTTGACTCTACAGTAGGTGCTGCTGCCTCGAGATTCCATTGTTCCCCATGACTGCTTAAGCAGATATGAAATAAAAATGTGATTAATTAGATGCATTACTTTAAAATTATCTAATTAACTAGATATTTATTTTAATTGCCTTACAGCTCTCATGTATATCAGTTGAATAATAAAAAACACCTAGACTAAAACATTTTCCTTGGAATGAATGCATAGTGAAACACATCAAAATGCTGTATCTTGGTAAATGATGAGACCTTGTGAAAATTAATTTCAAACACTTTTTGAATATTCTCCCTCTTGGAAACACATTTTTTCTATATTGTATTTTGAACTTTCCTTCATTAATTCACAGTTTTGCTGTGAGCTGTAAATTGGCTTAACCCCATAATTCCTTGATTTCACATCGTGCCACTGTGGACTGTTACATTTCTGGTTATATGGCGTTGTTCTGTTGAATATATGCAGAGGGGTTTTATTTACAGGTAAACTGAGCAAATAAAGTGTAAAACAAAAAAAAGAAATTATATGTGAACAGAATGCAGTTTGTTTTTCTTTGGAAAACTTTGTTATGTAACCTTATTGAGCTTCTCCCATATAAATAGGATGCTGTTTGAGCCATTATTGCCTGGTTAACGGAGGGAGATTGAATCTGACTGGAAAATTCAAACTTTATATGTAGCTTTCCCAACCAACCTCATTACCTGTTCATTAGCATCATCTATCACCACCAGATCTCCTCCTCTGTTTTTGCAGTCATTTCTGCCCTCCTCCCAAGAGCCAGGGTTTGTAGAGAGGAAGTAACAGGAATGCCCGTACATATTCCATCCTTTCGGACATTTCTTCTCTAAAAGTAACATAAAAAAAAAAAAAATTGTCAATATTCTTACTATTGGCAATGAAAGAGATAAATTGATTTAAAAGTTGAGTGTGAAGGGAGATGAGATGAGATGTAGATAGAAAAAAAGGGCTGCAGGCAGGGATGTCAATTCAACCCCCCCAAAACTGATTTTTAAATGAGGCCTTACCTTGAGTGGACAAACTCTGAAATCTGATGAGCTGTTTAGACATTTGTGTAATGTCTGAATTCAGTAGGTCTCTTTGTTCAGTCATTAAGGCAAGCTGGTCATTGATGGCCTGGAGATGATGAGTCAGATTGTCTTTGATGTTGGAGAGACCTCCTGTCAAAGGGCCTTGATCCTTGACTAAAAAACCCCCAGAGATATTAGTTCAGAGAAAAAATAACCTCTTTTTAAGGCTAATTAAATATTTTATCAAACTTGAATTTATAAAAGAAAAAACTATCACATTAACAGCAACTATACCACTGAAATTTGCTGACTTTTTTATTTCCTATTTGATCAGCAAATATTCTCAAATGGCTTGTCAAAGCAAATCTGTCACACAGAAAATCTACTAAAACCTTATACACAATTGCAATAATGTATTTAAAGTCTTTCTTTTTATTAAAGTAAAATGATAAGAATTTACAACCAGACTTACAACAAACACCAAAGCTGTAGAGTCTGATCAGCAGGAACACATTCAGGAGCCACAGATAGATCAGAACACCCAAATACAGCCTCTCCTTAGAGCTGCTAGAACCTTAACAAATAAAATATAATCTCACAAATACATTTTATGCAATACTGCAAAATAATGAAATATATATTTGTGTTTTTCTCTCTTAGGTCAGACGTACCTTTCTTGTTAGTAGTACGTTTTGCAGAATCCTCATTGGCATACATTTCCTCCATTGCTTTGACATATGGCGTATGCACCAACGTGCGTAGCATATAAGCATTGTGAAACTGGCTTGGTCATATGAGGAAGTTGAACATTGTAAGAATGACAAATATAGATACAATATAAAAAGACTCTACTTTCTGACCATTTCTATTGCAAATTGTCCCACAAACCTAGCCCTAACCTATTCACAAGATTCACATGGATTTTCCAGAGGGGTAAAATTATTTGTATTCAAAGAACCCTTAGAAAATGTAAAGAGGATAAATCTGCTGTAAATTAATTTTTTTTTATTACACTGTAAAAAAAACAACAACTGTTATTTAGGTTTGGATACAGTATGTCTAGATGTTTAAAGTTCCTCCTTTGATAAAATATAGTGAAATTAAAAGAAGTAAGTATAGATAGGTTTTCATGGCCCCTTTCAGGAGCTTTATAATGAAAGCAAGCATTAAACCCCAGAAGATGAAAACATACAGTAGAAGATAAAACAGTACATGTAACACCATACGGTATAAAACACATTAAAAGATAACAAGTCTTCAACAACATGCTAAAAGAATAAAATTCAGACAGCACAAGAAGGGAGGTAACATTTTACACTATCTTTAGGTCACTAATCTAGAGTACAGCCATCTATGGTTTTACTACTCAGCGATGACTGGACCGTCTCAGTAAGAAAGCAGGATGTAGAAGTAGGTGTGACTGCTGTAAGAACTTTCTTCATAAGAGCTTTACTTTATAAACATTTTTTTTTTTTTTTTTTTGCATCGGTACTTATGTGATTATTTCTAAACTGTTTCCACTGACTGCTAGTCCTGCCTTTAGAATGGGGCTTACACCTTACCAGACTGATTTGCTGTACATGCTGTGTACAGAGAATATATTACTCTGGCTTGGCAGGCTAGTCAAAGGTTACTATAAGCAAATATGTTTCAAGTCTCCAGTTAGAGCAACTTAGGGTTTAAGAACTTTCACAGTTTTTTGGAAGTGTGTTCCAGATTAGTGGAACATACTTAATCTGAAACACACTGGAACATTAACAGCTGCTTCTCCATGATTTGGTTTTGGGTTCCGGACTTGAGCCACAAAGCATGTTTACAGGAATGAGGGAAAGTTTTCCGTTTCATCAAGAGATTTTACTCAACCTCTGTTTCTGTTACCATAGCAACATTCTTCCCAGAGCTAAACTGGTCGGAAGCAGGTTTTGTTCAGTAAACTCAGTGTCCTCTGTCTCCACCCTCCTTAAAGCCAATCAGTTGTTTTATTTCCTCATTTGATAAGCAGAGTTCTGTCGTAGTTGTGCAATCAATCAAATTTTTTTTTTTGCAAACAATAAAACGGAAATCATTTACCCAGCCCTTTTGACACATTAGGTGTTAAAATAAAAACATTGCATGTTTTCACGAGGATACAATTAAAGAATGAGCTGCAATACTTATCCAGTGAGGCATTCAGCAATACTTTAAGTGACAGAGTCCAGCAGATGGCATCATTTATTATTCCTCAGCTAGAAAAGGGTTTGTATAATTACCCCTGCAGGGTTTCAGTTTCAGATAATACATTTTGACTAACAACATAATAAAAGTAAGACTGACATTACATATTCTTTTTTTTTTTATGTGCCTCAGTTAATAAACAGTAGTAAAAACAATTAGTATTTAAAAATAAAGGAGAATTTATTTTTAACTGCAGCAGAAACAGTGATGGTTTGTAATTTGAGGTATTTTTAACAAATAGCTCCTTATAACCTACTGATACCTAAAAGTGTAATTTTACTAATGCAACACTGAATAATCAGTAAGGCTTTACCTGTGGATTTTATTTTTTCAGTGGTCTTATGCGAAAATTGTTTTATTGATCAAAGATTACAGAGGCTGCTAAAACAATGGTTAAAATATTTGAAAAGGCATTTAAAGTTGTCTCTTTTTAGTTACATGCACAGTATAATTCAAAATGGAATTATGACCTTTATGTAAAGCAGCTGTTGATACTTAGACTGTAAAATGATTTGCTTTTTCACAGATCCAGTTCAGACAATAAGAACATGGAAGGTCATTCCATCCTTCACCAGTTCTAATGTGAGCACAATCCTCCTCTTTGGCTCCATAGTCTTTCCCACCATTATCAGGCTGTTTTTCCACCCAGAAACTGAACATTTTGTGGAAAAAAGAAAAAAAAAACAATTACTGTTATTACATGTTAGACCAAAAACAAGATCTAATCATTTTATTGAAAGACAAAGAACACCTGTTAATCTTAAAAGAGACTATAATTATTATTTATAAAGCAAGGTTTCCTGGTTTGGCAAATTAAAGAGTTTGTCTGCTACAGATGAACCGATTATATTGCAACAAACACATATAACAATTTTAATAAATATATTAAAAGAAAATGTTATTTATTTCTTACGAAAACATTGATCATCATGTCTTTGAAAGTTGATAAAGGAAAAGAAAAGATTATGTTTATTAAAAGATTATGCCAAAAGTTTTTAAAAATCTTCACACACATATATCCTTGAGTTACATCCCATCCTAATTCTTGGATTTTAACCTGACCTTGGCCAAACCTTTGCAACATCTTCAACCTTTCAGTAAGGCTTCCCGGTTGTGGGAGTGTGTTAATGGGAATTTCTTTGCATTCTTTTGCAATCCCATTTGGGAAGTCAAACCTCAACACTTGGAAAGTAGTAATGTCCGATACCATCAATTTCTCTTCGTAACTGATACTGAGTCAAATAAAGGCTGGTTTCAGACTATATTGATCGGATACCTTTTACAAATTCACCTAAAATTTGTCTTGTAAATTAACACCTTCTTAAAATGGGTCATTTTAATTGAAATTTCCTTTGAAGAGTTTGGTTAAAGGCACACTATGTAATTTTTGGCTACTAGGCATGATAGACCTTTAACTGCCCGTAGTTTGCTTCATCTAAAAGTCAAAAATAATAAAGACATAAGTCTGTATACTAGGAGCAAAGTGTTAACTTTCCAGCCTAATAATAAAGTTGAGAAAAGAGAAGCGGTTTTACATCTGGCTTCTTCTTTCAGCCTGCGCCAACAAATAAACTCCTTGCCATGATCACCTCTTGTTTTTTCTAATGCACAATCCTTTTCATGTTTTTTCTTTTAAGCCTCCTCAAGAATTAAACTTTTTCCTTGCCTCAGCCATGACCAGTAGTCGGAGAAGCAGAAAAATGGTAGAGCAAAAGCCTTAGCTCCATGACTTTATAAGATCATAATCTCGCTCCACTGTAACTGCCTTAAGCACAAAAAGACTCCCCCAGAAACTTCTCCTCTACCTGCCCTAACAACAGCCTCAGCAGCTTGAACAGAGCTCTCCTCTTTATCATCCAAGCTGCATATTTTGCGTTTTGGTTTAAAGCTTCACTGCAAGTTTCTGTGCCACCAACCCGGTGCATCTCTGTTCTCATTCTCAAGTATTGCACCCAGCTTACTGGCCTCTGGCACTAAAAGCCATACACAGCTTGCACTTCACTAACAAAGGAGCTATCATAGATCAGTTTTTTTATTGTATTTTTAATGATATATCAGAGCCAACATAGAAAAAGGTAAAGAAACCCTTTGTTAGATTAGAAAAATGAAAAGCAAAATGACAATCTAATTAGCAAAGGACTTACATGAGAATGCATTTGGGCATTTTGTCCCCTGCAAGACTTCAAACAGAATAAAGGCTGCAAAACTAATCTCAGTTAGTGTTATTATTGTTACAGACCTATAACATGGAGAGGCTGCATCACCTTATGAGAGCAAATAAAAGAAAGTTTACTTTAGGGCCAAACTTACACATAACTTAGTTTGTTTAAATAACAATTTAAACTGAAAAGACTGCTGTACACTAGCCACCACTTCAGACATATGGCCGTAGTATCTGTCTTCCTGCTGCTAAAAGGCATGACAGCGCTGTCTGTTTTGACTGTGTGGTTTTGAGAGAACAGTCGTTTTTTTTTTTTTTTTTTACCACTGTGCTATTTTTAATGGGTGAAACATGACTCGAAAATGGCTTTATGCTCCTTTAACCAAAGACCCACACCAAAATCCACTCACACCAAGTTTGGAAAGTGCTATTTTACTATCAACTGCAAGGCCAGACTTATTAATTAGATTGACAGACGATGGGAAAGGATTTATCTCTTCAGAAATCATGTTTCTACAATGCTCTGGGGTTCAATAGTGGACATTTTCACAGAACTGAACCTGAGATTGCAGCTGATGCTAATGTAAAGCTTGATTGCAGCTGATATGGAGACCAATTACATGAAGTTTTCTTTGTTATCACTCCTAAATCATTCCGAAGCCTAAATTTTGGAGTTATACGACTATTGACTCTAAGGTCTAAGCTGGTGGTCTAAGGTGATCGTGTTTCACAGCATCTGCATTTTGGGAACTATAATTTTGAACAGGTTATCACATACTAACAACTAACTATGAAATGTTTAGTTACAAGGAAGGGTCATGTGACTTATTTTACAGACATGTGCAGTATGTGTCTGTCTGATGGAGCATAAACTTATTCAGATTGATTGTTGAACTGACCTGCTAAGGAGCTACAATTTTAAGGCATATTCCAGGTGGACCACAAATTGAAAAATAAAAAATTCCTCACACTTCAGACTTTCTTAATAAACATGACCTAAAGTGTAAATCAAAGAGAACCAACATTTTCAACATGCACTGATTGCAATGCGATGAAGGGAACACTTACGTCAGAGCTGGAGACGTTCCATCAATCCACTTCCATGAACCCTCATTTTCTTTATCATTCAAACCGATCCAAAAGGATTTCTTAGTATACGCAACCAGAAATGTCTGTCAAAGGTAAAAGTTAAGAATTAGTTTTAAATTATAATAGGCTTAGATGTATGACTCAGAGGAATGCATTTTGTGAAACTCTTTTCTTTACAGTTTTACTTATAAATATTACTAATTATACCTCTTATTAATTATTCTATATCTCACAGTTTTCTTACTTCACCTTATGTCTACTGAAAAAAACATAATAATCTTTTTTGTATGTATATAAATATAAAATAAAAGTTGCATTGATCTTAAGCTGGGACTGCACGGTGTCATAGAGTGTAGCACTGTAGCCTTGCAGCTGAAGGTCTTGGGCTCGATTGCAGTCTTCCTTTCATAGCCAAAAAACATGAGCATTAGGTTAATTGGTGCCTCTAAATTGTCCTTGGGTTAAATTGTGTGAGTGCATGGGTGTATATCTCTGTGATCAGAAAAATGTATTTACTTTCACATCCCCTCTCCTGTTAATTATGATTTATTTTACTTTTTAAAGTATTTGCTCTAACAGAGCAGCTACTAAACAAAGCTGAATACGGGTCTTATCTTACTGATGCCTCAGAAGCTGTTTTTCAGTTTTAGATGTCTTTGTAAGAGACTAGACTCATTTAGACTCAAGTTTAGTCAATAAATGCTTTGCTTTGTAATTCCGTAAAAATTCAAAAAATATCCACTGGACTTGGTTTTCAAGATTTGAAGACGTTTCGCCACCTCTCCAGGAAGCTTTCTGGAGAGGTGGCGAAACGTCTTCAAATCTTGAAAACCAAGTCCAGTGGATATTTTTTGAATTTTTACGGAATGACTATGACCTGGATGACTGAGAACCTTCATCAACAATTTGCTTTGTAAGAAACTTTTTTGTCTGTGAGAATCTCTCTCTCCCTGCGCTTCTTCAGTAGTCAGTGAAATCCTCTGTGACCAGAACAGACAGCAACATTAGTCAGACTGCATCTGTTCTCCGCTTGCAAGGTGTTAATAAAATGCTGGCTTGAATAAAGAACATCAGATTTGAAAGACACAGAATAAATTGAGATAGAAGCCAATAAATCATGTAAAATTCTCATATACAGAACAAAAAATTTTGGTTATTGAATACAACACCTGTTCATCAGCGCTGTCTATCACCACCAGATCACCGCCTAAATTTCTGCACTCCTCTTTAGCATCATCCCAGGAACCACATCCAGACAAAATATAACAAGAGTACTTGAACTTCTTCCATCCTAGAGGACATGTTTCATCTAAAAGAGACGTTTCCAATTACATATTCTTAAACTCTGATTGTATATTGTAAAAAAATCATACAAAATATATATTTTTCATATTCAAATATATATGATTTTAGAAAAAAAGAAAAATTTTGAATGGTAAATTCCCATTCCTATAACAAAAACATATTGTGTCAATTAAAGAAGTATTCTCACTAGCAGCTAAGGACTTACTCTGTTTGAGCCTCTTCAGCTCTTCAGTCTTGTTAGCGAGGGCGGCATTCAGCCAGTCTCTCTCTTCAGTCATTGAGGAAAGCTTGGTGGATAAATCTGCTGCCAAACTGCTATGTCTGAGATCTAAAATGAATAGATATACATGGTAATCTAGCATAAAAAAAAGTGGATGCAGTGTTTGAACTGAGGTCCCACTGAAGAATATAAACCAGCTGTTGTTTTTCTTAAAAAAAAAATCTGATTAAAAAAGAACATGTGATAAAAAGAGAAATCCCATGAAGATAACACTTTTTTCACTGAAACATTTGTTCCTTTTAGAAAAATTATTATTGAATTGAAATAATACAGTAACACGCTAGGCATTAACTGATTAAGGGTATAGAGTTATACCGTATAACTTTTTGACATATTTGTTCTTTTGGTTTATTAGAATTATTATTATTATTATTTTTTTTTCTGAGCTCCAGCCATTTAAAATAGTTACAAAACTCCAGTTTTGCAGTGGAGAAAAGTTGTTAAAATAAGTACAGGAGATCATTTTCCCCATTATTCTACAGTTTGACAAATAGGAAGAAAATATGAAAAAAGTTACATTTTATTTATTTTAATTTTTAAGTAGTGCATAAATACCTGGTTTCATGTTTCATGTCTTTTTTTTTCCTTTGTTAGATTTTGGGGTAAATACAGTGGGACCATGGTATTTGAACCATGTTTTTGTATATAAGAACACTAAACTGTTCCATAGATAGATCAGACTTCCCAAGTATTGATATGTTGGGTGTGTTCTTCCTATAGTTACATCAGATCATCTGACTCACAAAGGTAGACGAATCCAGCCACCAGAACAGCAATTATTAGCACCAAAATGATGATGATGATGATGATAACCCACAGACAAGTTGACTTTTTAGAGTTGTTTGAACCTTTAGAAATAAGACACAAGAATAAAAATGTTGCCAGGAACAGAAACAACAAAACAGAAAGACAATTCTTACCTTCTAAGATTTTTCTGGAGGCATTGGGGGCAGGTTTAATAGGTCTGGTATTAAAATAGACATTTTCCATCATCTGGGGAGGTGATGCGCTTTTGCTTTATTGTCAGATCTGCAGCATTTGCATTGAGGAAGAAATACATACTGATTGTTTGAGGAAGTTGCATATGCCAATGGTGACAAAGCCTGTCTTCTGAAACAGTTTGAAGGCACATTTCCTGAACAGTTAAAATGTGTGATATTGTTTCTCGCCATAGTAGTTACTGAAAACTGTTACGCAATTCTCTGTTTGCTTTGACTACATCTGCTGCACTTGCATGCTTTTTTTTTTTGCCTTTTAACAGCAAATCATGAAAAGAAGAAGAGAAAAAGGATCTTGATCTGCAAAGAATACACACTAAATTTTTGTTCTCAGTTCCTAAAAGAGTTTGATGACTTTGTTGAAATAGAAACCTTTTGTTCCCTTTTATTTTGGCTCCACAGCTGCAGTTCATGGGAAGGACATTACATTTGAATAGGTTAAGGAACTGTGGGAGATCATGGAAAAACGGATCCAGCAAGCTATTTTTTGAACATACACAACCATGCCTCTCCCTTCAGTCCACTCCTCAAAACCACGCCTTCAAACACTTGAAGGCCCATGCTGTCTGCAGCGTGTCTGAGCAGCTGAAACAGCGCAGCTGATCTGGAAGCTGACAGGGAAACAGGCACAGCACTAATGATGCAGAGAGCTATATTCACTCCTCTGAAACAGTTTATTAATAAACATAGGCTGCTGATGAATGGGTTTCGTTGTGACAGTGCACCGCCTGTATGTAGGAGTCTGAGCAGCTCAGACAGAATTAATATTTGAAGGCAGGATGGTAATCTGGATGAACTGACTGCACTGACAATGTTTTCAGGTGGACTTTCTCACTTCAAAATAGATTCAAACTACTTTTTATCCACTGATCACAGCAAATATAGCTGCCATTGTTACATGCAAAGAAAGGATAGGGTAGTTTCGCCCAACACACATGGTCAGCATCAGCGCATCAGACCAAACTGATCAAATTTTTTTTTTCTGCTCCAATCAAAAGTTGCCATGATTAATGTTTTTGACTGGAGAAACAATGCATGACCTATGTATGATGAGCGTTTTAGCCAAAATACACTGAAAAAATTGCAAATACTGTTTTTTAACAAATCCCTGTTTAAGCATAATCTATAAATTGATAAATCTCTACAAAATCGTCTAAACCTTGTGTAAAGTGGGGTCATACCGTCCTTTGACCTTTTAGATTCCACGCCTTATTCCTTTTTAGATAACTCAGTCACTTGAAAAGACCAGTTTAACTTTTTTATTATCTTTTTAGATGATGCACTTCCAACTGAGAAGCAAACGAGCGTGGAATTATTCCCTGATGGCTAAATAAAACTTCAGTTGACTAAACATAAAAAACAAAAAACGTTCTATTCAGCATAATCATAGCTGTAAAATATTTTCAAAACAGATTAGTGAGACTAAAAAAGATAAAATGTAAGCTTATATAAGAAACTGCACAATTTGAAGTGATGGTTCAGCAGTGAACTATAGTAGACAGGGCTGGACTGGGAGATTTTTTCAGTCATGACGTGGCTGATTTCTTAGGTAGTGAAATAAAATAGGGTTGTGATCTGTTTTTTTTTTTTTTTTCCGAGAACCCAACTGAAAAGTTAAACAAGCTTTTAAAAAACAAAAAGTAAATTCCTCTGCTTGGTTTGGACACACATCCAAACCAAGCAGAGGAAGAGCAAGGATGGTAGAGAACTGACTGTGAGCTGCTGTTTTTCACACTGAGCTATCTGAGCTCATCAAAGCAGCTCAGATGTCTTGATGAAAACAAAACTAAGTCAGTCTGACAATATTTTTTGTTCCCAATTCATCAAGTTTAAATGTGATTATAGTGCAGTTCAATTTTTATAAATACAGGTTTATAATATGATTTTATTTTGCATTTATTTAAATTCTTTACTAACTTTCAGGCAACAAACAGTATATATGTTTTTTTTTTTTCATTTGGGAAGGAAAGCATATTAGAAAATCTTCATGCTGATACTCTCTTTATTATCCTGTAATCCGATTTCTGAGACCAATATCCACATGGTGTCGGCTTCTATTCTTAAGGTTAACTGTATCAAACGCTGAGCTGATGAGACTCTTTTTACAATGTTAGCAGAAACAGTTTGCTGGGACTTGATTTCCTATACCCTTGGAATTGGAGTGGTTTGCACACTCTCTCTTTTTTTTTTTTACATCTCAACCAACATCTCAGGGGAAATAGGGCAATCCTCAATTTCAAGGCTTTTGTTTGAAAAAAGTATTTAATTATAATTTATTAGATATTTTACATTCATTCATGTATTCATTTATACAACTGTATGTGTATTTATTTATTTATTTATATGTGTCTCATTAATTAATTTCATTAACTGATTAATTTTCGAATACATTTTTTGGTCATTATTTGTCCCTCATAGAAAAGTGGACAGCCGATTTTAAAAGAAATAGTCTTTTTTTGTTTTTTTTTTTACTCTTTTTTTTTTTTTTTTTTTTTTTTTAGAAATCTTGAACAGGGGAAGTACTGTATAAATGCACAGAGAAAAACTACATTCCGATATCCAGAGATGTTAGAAGTACAGTGGAAACAAATAGATTTACCTATGTGAATGATTCTGGGAGTATTATAACTTAAATGTATAGTGAATGATGTTCTTTTTCTGGGCGGATCATCAAAATAGGTGTCATGAAATGGGACAGATGGATCAGTATTCAAGGTGAGTTAGAACAGTGGGAGATAACAAAACGTTTAATGACAAAAAAAACAACACAGACACAGAACAGAAGGGAAGGCTGCTGTGGACCAGTGGACCTGCAACGGCTGTGAGGGGGGCGGGGCACAAGCCATTACTGGCACTCTGGTTCAACAGTTCAGTCCATCCTCTCATAAAAGGCAGGATCAGCTGATGGACTGCCAACGAGATGCGACGCTGAGCCATCCAGAGTGTCCCTGGTGCAGCAGCCCCATTGAGCATGCAGAAGACCGATCCAGATCAGGGAAACAGTTCAGAACAGGACCGTTCTGAGATCCCGGAGTCCGTAGTCCAACCAGGGGTACAGGAACAGACAGATCCAAGGTTCCAGGAATCCATAGAGCATTCAGGCATGTTCAGAGTTCCAATGAGTCCAGCAGCGAGCTCAGATAGACACGCTCAGATGGAGACAGGCAGGTTCAGTGGTAGAAAGGAAACTGGTACCAGAATAACTGCCAAACTTTAAACTGTAATCAATCTCGAAGCAAGAATTACAGGAAAAAAACTGACCTCCCCCGCATGCCAAGCAAAAACCCTGATGCTTCAGCCAAGATACAATCAGAAGACACGGGACAAACAACAAACCCTCTCAATCCACTGGCCTCCAGGGATGGGAACATGAACCAAGGACTGAACAAAAAATAAATGACACAGAGAAAACATGGATAACACAAAAAACTAATAATAATGGTCTGGCCCCGATAGCTGGGTTGAACCATATATAAAGCAGAGGGAGCAGGTGAATACGATAAATGATAATTAAAGCGCAGGGAGGGAACAGCAGGTGAATGAAGTGAGTAATCAGACCAGCTACCAGGGCTGATCCAATAAGTGGTCCTAACTGTCAATCATTCTGGTGATTTGTTTTTATGTAAGGCCCTCCTAAGTGCTCATCCTCATTTTCACTAAATGGTGGTGAGCTGACATAGTGGAGAAATTGCAAATTTTCTTTTGGAAAGTAAGCTTGTATGAGCGATGTAAAAAGCAACTTTTAAACAGAAGCCGTTTCTCAATTCAAGTCAAGTCCGTTCTTGGCGAGAACGCAGGAAGATCGGACTTGACGAGAACGCGAGAACGCAAGCACGTATGTGTATTGGAACAGAAGCGTACTCGTGACGTCATCACATGCAACGTTCTTTAGCATTTCTTTAACAGTCAAAACTATTTATTCCCTACACAAAACATTTTGAAAACAATATTTTTAATTTCTAAAGCTTAAAAAACATTTAAAAAAATTACCGAACCGGTGGGTATAAAACAAGGCAGTGAGATAAACACAAAACAAATGGACGTTTGGCCGAATTAAAGCAAAAAACCGCCATCAGAACGAGCGGTAGTTCACACATAACTAGACCGAGAGAAGTGCACTACAGACAGGGTAACATTAGCCCTGGCTGCGGTTACCCTCGGAGGTCTGCTGGTCACTCTGGTCCGCTCAACGCCGGACTTTTTTTTTTATTTCGCACTCTGTAAACAGGCCACACAGGGAGGCTTAAATGTATAATGTTATCGCCTCAAACGATTTCAAAACGTACTTTTGAAGAACAACAGCAGCAGAAAAGGGAATGTTTAACTTAACACTGTGAGCGCTGTCTCGAATCAAGCTGCGGTCGCGGGGCATTCTGGGGAAGCGGTCAGTCTGAAGAACGCACAAGTCTGCTCTGATGCATGCTCGATAAAGAGGGCGGGGTGAGAACAACATCCGGGGATTTCGTGCGTTCCCGATCTGGCGTTCTTGAGAATTGGAACGGTACTTGGGCTGAGGCTGATGACGTGTCACGAGTACACGAGCACACGACAACGCATATTGAGAAACGACCAGAGTGTGCACGAGGAGAAATGGTGGACTTGTGCATGCTCTTGCACGGGTTTAATAGTCATTCCCTCTCAGAGCAGGTACAGGGTTATATATTTTTTGTTAAAGTAATAAGGTTGGGTCTTTTCAAATATTTGCAGAAATCTTCCACTATACCTTAAATTAAGGGAATTATAATGTTTAGATTACATTAACAGCAGATATTTTTCAGGCACTCCATGGCGGTAGTTTTTCACAGATCCATTTGAGAGAAGCTGCACAGGAAAGGTCGTTCCACCTTTTGTTTATATATTGCCCACAGTCTTCATCACCCTTCCAATTATCAGGCTGATCGTCTCCCCAGAATCTGAAATATTTAAATAAAAGTGAGTCATTCCACAGTGTACAAATTATTACATAACAAGCATAACTAAATAGGATTTTCTATTTGCCACTTATTGTCAGTTAATTATAGAACAGTACAATGTTAAACACAGAAATTAAAATAAAGGTTCATGGTCAGGGTACACACTCCATCAGGGTACACAGGATGTCATACACACTGCACTTTGTTTAAAAAATATATACTGTAAATATAAAAAAAAAATATAACCACGGATGTCTGGGGGACAGTGATTTGCCTACATGTTATGAATGCTGGCGTACCATAAATGATAAATTATGAACAGTTCAGACTGTGCCTTCAAGTCATTGCCCATAGGAAGACGTTACTTGGATATAACCCAACTGAATCTATAGAACAGCTCCAAATGACACAAAACTAATATGGGTGAGTAGAATATGATGTAATAACGTCAAAAAAACAGTGTTCCCCTTTAAGAGCAGCTATGCAAATTAACAAAGATCTAGAAAAAGTACAATATATTAGATTATTTTCCATGTGAATCCCAGATTGTTCATGCTTCTTTGCCTTTTTTTCAAAAAGGTGCTTTAAATCTGCTTTAAATTATCTGGTCAGATCCTGAGGTTTTTAAAAGGAGGCAGTGAAAGCAGAGAGTGTACCGTCTACATCTGTCTTCAGACTGCTGATTAATTTTGACGTCGGCTGATAAAATCCAAACCTCAAGCTTCTCTTGGTTAGTTTGCTTTAAGGGACTTCACATAATTTAATTTTTCATGCGCCATTTCTCACTCTCCCTCTCTTTCTCTCTCTCCAATCGTCTCCACCCTCCGTGACTCGACCTGTCAATAAGCCACAGTACGACTCCCCCAACCTTTTGCATTGCAGACGAGCTTTGCTGCTCATGTACAACTTTTAACGAGTATCTTTAGGCACTGACTCAGTGATGTCCTAAGCCAGGGATGCTTAGGCAGTGAAGGGCAGCAAGGGAAATTGCTCTCCTTCATCCTATACCACAGCCAGATTCTCTGATTGGTTTTTGCAACACATTGTAACAGAAATTTTCAGATTCCTCAATTCTAGTGAAATTCACTTTACATCAGAGATGGGAAGTAACGAAGTACAAATACTTTGTTAGTGTACTCAAGTAGATTTTTCTGATATTTTTACTTTACTTTACTACTTTTTTTTTATGGCGACTTTTTACTTCTACTCCTTACATTTTTACACAAATATCTGTACTTTCTACTCCTTACATTTTAAAAAATTGGCTCGTTACTTTAGTTTTGAATCATTTCAATGGAGTTACCGTTATTATTTTTCACTTCATCAATACCAAATTCAGTCTAATTGGATGGGAATCTACGTTGCATTTGACGCACCATTACAAGATGAATCGACAGATTCGGCAGTATTCATTCGCGGCAAATCATTGCAGCTTAATGGCGGTGGCGTTAGCATAGTAGTATGGACGACGAAATGATTGAAAATGAACACAACAGAGATCTAGTCCTATTGGCAGACATCCATTTAAAATGTAGGCAACGGCATGAAAAAAGTGGTTTCTACTTTTACTTTTATACTTTAAGTAAATTTACAAGCCTGTACTTTGTTACTTTTACTTGAGTAAAGAAGTTTAATCAGTACTTCCACTTTTACCAGAGTATTTTTTAACAAAGGTATCTGTACTTTTACTCAAGTACGGAAAGTGAGTACTTTTGCCATCTCTGCTTTACATTAATTGCAGGTGTGGCTTTGCTCTCACTTAGTTGTATTTGGTCTGATTGCACCACCTGCATAAGTTTGAAATTTCGCATTATTTCACCCTTAAAAGCAACTCTACATGGGGAAAATATGCAAGCCACATCATTCGCACTCAGAGCAAATACCCCTTAAGAGGGCAACATTAGAACGTTTTTGAGTCATACATTGCAGAATAAAATAATTTGACATAAAAAAAGCACTTTAAAAAAGGAGCCTTAGGCCCAGTCTCTAAAGGTTATCCGAAAAAAAAAGTAGTTACACTTTTAAGTTTTTTTTCAAATTTAATATGAAAGGTTTAAAATATCATTGTAGTCTAAAATCTGCCATTGCCTGACAATTTATGTGCTGATTTAATAGTGCAGAAATTAACCTCAAGGTAATTTTCACAGTTTGACAGCTCAGCTTTGCAGCTTTTCTGAATTAGCACCTAATGTGACATCCTGTTGTGTATGTATATATATAAATATATACGGTATATATATATATATATATATATATATATATATATATATATATATATATATATATATATATATATATATATATATATATATATATATATATATATATCTGTCTGTAATGTTGCCTTGGGAGCCATTGGTCTGATGTGTTCTATGTTATGTGGCTACTACCCCCCTTGGTGAACAGTCTGTATTTACTGAACAAAGCCAGACTACATCCTACCTACTAATCAGAAACAGCTCAATATAGCGTTTTGTTTCCTGCTGGTCAAATCAAGATGAAGTGTTTTGTGAATCTGCCTGCTGAAGCAGATGATAATCTACCTAGTCTCTCTGATTGACCCGTGTTTGGTGTCCCTGGAACAGCACAGGCTGTTCGCCAAGGTGTCAATACAAAGCAACCCGACCACCATCCCCTGGGTAGCTGTTCTGCTGCTGTCTGAGCCGCTGTCAAACAGCTATCCACTGCTGCCAGGTCCCCTCCATTCCACGGGCCAACATAGTTAACCCCTTTTCCCCCTCTTTTCATCTGATGCTTAATAAGTACTCTGCTTGGGTGACAAGTAGGTATAATAGGTTAATAGATTTTTACATATGTTGTCTATGTTTAATCTGAAAAAAGCTCTCTGATTTAACTTCTAAACTGAATGCAAATGCTTGCTGAGCGTTATGCTACTGTCAGTCCACACACACTAGATGCAGCAGAAGCAGCTAGTTTACATGCAAAGTCAATGGTTGATGCACATCAGGGTGCAGCAAAAGGTCCTGCAGCACGTTTTGAGCAGCAGGAGCAGCATGTCTGACGAGCTAAATTAACTTAAAATGTCGAAACCTTCCAGCAAAATATGTTCGTTTTAAGTTTGGATTACATGCGTGAAAAACGTCTTCCAGCCGCCGCCGCAAATATTAGAGGAAAATCGAGAAGAGGTGACCGGGCCACAGGCTGCTGTTGAACAGGATTTCCAGGGACAGCGCTAGGGTGGCCAGATGTCCGGCTTTAGGGCGGACAGTTATGAGGCACTAGGCTTGTAGAGCAGATTTTTATTTTTTATTTCTTTGCTGGACTGCAGCACAATATTCAATCATCAAAAATGCATCACTATCTGATGTAACACATGATTGGCAAAGAGTGGCGGGGTGTCAGACAAAAATCTGCTTGTCATTGGTTACAAAAGTAAACAAGGATCAGAATTACTGATGCTAAGTATTAAAGTTAGCGCCCTGTGAAAACCAGGATGTCGTTTAACCCAGAATGGACAAAAGAGCGTGAATTTATGACCAAAGGTAGTGGAGAATCATTCCATGGTTTCTGCCACTTTGTCGATGCGATGTGAGTGTAAGCAGTGGAGGAAAAGCTGCAATTGAACGGTGTGCGAGTACGGATGAACATAAAAAGTAATAAACGTGCAGCAGCGAACTCTTCAATGTTGGCTTTTACATTAAGTTTTGTTGCCCCTGGATGCTAAAATAACTTGTGCAGAGCTGTAAGGTGGACTATACTATAAAACATTACTAGTCTCACGGAACTGTAGACTGTGACGTGAAAGTGGATTTCAGTGATTTGCCCTTAGCTAAAGGGATGACCTTAAAGACAGGTCTGCTGCACACACAGATGCACCACAATGTATTAAATAAATACAAATGCTGAGAAACCAATTATTTTTTTTACATTTCTTTAATATTTTGTTCTCTTCAGCTACACAAGCATCCTCTTTAAACTACTAAGAATTGTACTATAAATGTGACTTTACCCGATTCTTATGTACACCTTAGTAATTTATTGATATGCCACACAATGTCTTCCTTTTTGGTGCTATAGAAATGGCTACCCTAGACAGCGCACCGCCGGTTTACTGGGGTCTGACCGGCTCTGACAGTGAAATAATATTTAAATGCAGGTTCGTAATCTAGATGAACTGACTGCACAAATGAAGTTTTCAGGTGGACTTCCTCACTTAAAAATATAAACAACTTTTTACCCACTTATCACAGCAAATATAGCAAAAGCTGCTCTGTGCCGTTGAACACAGAAGCAGAGGAAGATTCTGGACAGACTTTACGTGCTTCAGGAGGATCAAAACTGCTCCTGAAGAGTGTCTGACCTTGATGTGTACAAGCATCAAAAATGTAGCAGAAACCTTTTTGCTTCTTCCTGTGGTTGCAGTCTGAACGTAGGATGACTGAATGATCTGTGCTGTGTGTTGCTGCCTGTTTATTTTTCTCTTTGTCTGAATAGTCAGGGTGGTATGGTTGGACTGGTTAGCATTGTAAGCTTTAAGCCACCTCATCTTCAGCCACAGGTATACGTGTGTGCAGCCACGCTCAACAACTCTTTGTTCTAGTTGAGCCCAGCCTTGTAAAGGGGCCTCCGGATGTTATCTGAGCTAACTCGGTTTTTCTACAAGCTGCTACATTTTGGTGAATTTTTTGACTGATTCTTAATTATTCACTGTAAAACCAGAGGATGCTACACTGTTTATTTGCAGTTCAGATCTCTGCATAAGCTGTTATTCACATTTATCTACTGGTATTTTAGAGGACATGTTAATTGCATTAACCTTCAAGCCTTAAAACTTGGATATTTCCCAGACACTCTTGGAGTCGTATAAAACGTTCTTTTACATTTTTTATGAGCTTTTTGTTTAATTGATACTTATTTTCTCTAGTATTTAGTGTTTGTGTAGTTTAGATAGGAATTATTAGCAGTGTTGCGCCAGTGCCATTTTTTGTCTCCTATACTGATACCCGATGCCTGGCTGTGCAGCATCAGCCGATACTGATACCATCTGTTTGAAATTGATGTGTGTGTGTAAATATATGAAGAACTGCAAACAACTTGAATGTAAAATAATTGCCATCATGGCTTTGTCAAGCTGCTGCCTACCTTTGTAAAGCGGGAAAAATACTAATACAAAATGAATCCGGTACAACTTTTTATTGCCTACCTGGAAAGGATGACAATAGTTGAATAAACTTTTGGCTCTCAAAATGGTATCTATACCTTATTTGTTGGTACTACCAGATACCGATACCACCATTTTAGTTTAGATACATTGGTACATATATCGGTAACGGTGCAACACAAATTATTAGCTAATAAAGGTACTAATGTTTCAACCCGTGGTCTCTTGTGGTTTTTTATGCAGTGAACAATTAACAGCTGATCCAGGAGTCCAACCTTGATTAATAGACTAATGAACCTTGGTGAATAGGCAGATAACAGTTATAACAATTATCTAATAATATTAATTGGGTTTACCCTTGATTCAGCCAATCAACTATAACTACCAGTTATGGTTCTTTAATATATTTATTAACTTCGGGTTAAAGTACACAACAGTAAGCATGAATGCTCTACTTTTCTAAACTTCTATTTAGTTAAAGACATGACACAGTAACATGCTCACAGGAATATTGTTTGTGTAACTGTGTAACAAAAAAGTAAACACTTACGAAAGAGTCATAGAGGTCCCATCCACCCACTTCCAAGAACCTTCAGTTTCTTTGTCGATCAAACCAATCCAAGCTGCTTCATTAGCAAAACTGGAAATAAAGTCCTGTCAAATATCAGCATACCAAAGTTGTATTAGTGGGTAGTAGGTAGAAGATAGTCATACCATGTTAATGTGCATGAACAATACACTACTGAATATACAGATCACTGGTATTCTCTACTGCAGATCTTTCTATCTAGCTGCATACGTGCATGGATTTGCATCTGCATTTAAGCTGTGGGAGGAAGTTAGAGTACCCAGAGAAATCCCTCACATCAATGGGGGTTCAAACCCAAAAGAAGACTGAAACAATATGATTGTTTTACTACAAGATGGCTTGGGATCCACACCACAATGATAACTACTAGCATCTCAAATGCTTCAGTCAGTTCTGCCGAGTAGCCTAAAGCTCCATGCTCTACAGGCATAGAATCATCTGATCAGCAATCCCCTGCTTAACTCACTACTGAATACCCATTCAGGAGTCCTGGATTCTACATCACAATCATCACACAACTACTTGAGAGTTCATTGACTCCCTCAGCATCAAGTCAATCATCTATGCTCCAGAGCTTCTGTTTGTAGTCAAGATGTCGCAGTTAAAGTCTCATGTCTTATCACCAAAATCATAGTGTTGGGAGCAAGAGTGAAAACTCTGCCTTAGGCCTCTGCACAAAAAGGCAGAGGCCTAGACATCGAAGAAGAACAGGTTCTGTTAATGGAGTTGGCAAAAAGACCAAGGAGGACGCGTAGGTGGTGTGTATGCCCCTTGAATCAGACCAGGTATGAGACTTGGGAGTTTCGACCCGGCATCGAATCAAGAAGGACGACCACACAGAAAGCCGGAAAGACATACGAAGGATAAATCACAGCGGCTTTTTGTCTGCACACTTCCGCTTGAGGTTTGGTCGGATTTGTGACCGTCCAACACGTAGTCAGGATTTTTTTGAGGTGCGCTGGGGGTGTGGTCACGCACAGAGACAGATTTGAACTTGCAGAGGCACTGCGTCAGGAGTATAAATTGGCCTTAAGTCTGTGCCTTGTCCTGCTCATATACTAATCCCAACCATGGACAACTTTGTACCACTGTGTTTGGCTCCAGCTCTTCTTGGGGATTTTCAGAAATGTGAGTTGGATCTACTTCTAATATGTTTCTTTCCATGTCTCCCAAGGTAACCAGGGTAACCTTCTTCCAGAAGCTTTTGGTAAATAAACTTCAGCAACCTTTAGATTCAGTGTTTATCCAGATTACAGCCTTCTATTCCTGTTGAGTAGGTTGAGAAAAACTCATCTCTGAATGTATGATTCCACCAAGGAGGTTGAACACTTTTTGTCACCATTTTGTCATGTTTACTTCAAATGAGTGACGCTAACCCCCCTAACTCTTTTACTTTTGTGAAAGCATTAGGCCGGGTATGTTTTCAACTTTGCAAGCTCTTGGCTGCTGTTCTTGGCAAAAAACGGTCTCTGACCATCCAACAGAACTTAATCAGCGGCCTTCATGATAAAGAACATTTTCTACCAGTTCACCCCTCTCTGTATTTCGGAACCCCTTTATCAGTCTCGGGTAGATCCAAAACTAAAGAGCTTTCTTACAAAACTGCATGCAATTGCATCCTGAAGAGATCTGTCTTGTCTCTTAGGCACCCTACGTTTGTTCTTTATTAGTCAGAGTTGTCAAAGTAAGAAGTGAATTTAGTCAAACCTGTAAAGTTTCCATTTTTTATCAGGAATGTGACAACCATTGTGCATATATTTGTGTTTTCATTATTTAGCGTTCATGTTCATTTTTAATGAGGTACATAGTGGCAATTATAGTGGATTATTAATGTAACAATGACCACAGCACCTGTTCGTCTTTATCATTTATCACCACCAGATCTGCTCCTCTTGTTATGCAATCCTTTCTTCCTTCATCCCATGAACCGCTCTTTGTAGAGAGGAAGTAACAGGAGCAACTGAACTTATTCCATCCTGTAGGACATGTTTTCGCTAAAGAAAAAAAAGAAAGAAAAAAGTTTTTTTTTTCATTTTAACATGTTGTTGCTCTTTTATTCAAGACAACAATTGAATGTTTAGTTTTTTAAATACCAGTTTTAGGATTTTAATAAAAAATAAAAAAAAATCTATTTACTAAAGGAGCTATGCTAAAATGTTCTGGCTTCAAAGGCTTCTATCTAAAACTTTGGAGGAAATAGACACACATATTGAAATCGGATTATTAAACTTAGGGTTACAGCACAATGAGTTTTCCATTACATTTTGTTTCCAAAAAAAAAAGCAAAAAAGCAAAAAGACAGACAAAAAACTGAAGAATTTAAGCTGAACAACAACCCAAAATATCTATACATTTCATGCAGACTTTTCGTTATTATTTTCTGTCTTTTTCTTTAACAAACCTCTGTTCAGCTTTTTCATCACTTTGGTTAGGTTAACATGCAGCAGGTTTCTTTCTTCAGTCATGGAGTAAAGCTTGCTGTTGCTGTCCTGGAGACGGTCGGTAAGATTGTCATTGATGTTAGAAAGACCTGCTGCCAAGTCCCAAGCTGAAATAAATCAATTACATGTTTGTTAAAAGAAAATAAAAACATATTTTTTTAGTTAATGACTCGGGTAACATTAATGTCTTAATTAATTCACACTGAAAGAGAAAGTATGAATACCTTAAGTAGTGAGGACATTATTATGATTTTATCTAAAAATGCAGGAAAGTACATTTGGATTGAAAATGAGGAAGTATTGTTTCTGTAATCTAACAAAATGCAAGACAGGCTTAGACTGATGATGTTCACTGACTGATCAGTAGATCATGTAGCATACAGTGTAATTTATCGCCTACTCCTTGAAGGCACTGCAAAACTTTTAATTCACAAAATTCTGTTCTTCTATACCCAGTCAGTTTCTTTCTATTTTTTTCTATTTTTTAGCAAAAGATATTTTACTCTGTCCATATTTAAGCTGACTAGAACAAGACAGTGGAGACCAAGGACGATGAGGCCAACCAGAAGTAAAACATTCAGGATTCCCAGAAATATAATAACAACCAGGAAGGGCCTCTTCTTGGAGCTACTTGAACCTTAACAAACAAAATGAATATTATCTGAATTCATTCTGGTCTAAAATTATCATAAAATAAAATCATAAATTTCTCTATCTGATCATTCTTACCTTCGATCTGAGATGTAGTAATTTGGAAAACAGTTTTCCTGTGTTCCACATTAGCATAAATTCCCTCCATCGCTTAATTTAGAAAATGACTGGCTTTTTCGAATACTGACAAAAAAATCTGCTGTAGTAGGTTATATAAGTGAAAGCTGGGGGACAGCCCTTTCTTAGACTGTAAAACGGGAAGCTCACATGTTAAAGATATCAATGAAAAAAAGGGATTCCTGTTTAACACAGCTGTGTTGGGTTTTTTTTGTTTGACCAATTACTGTGTTCACTTAGCCTCAATCAGTTTTCGTTCTGTTGCATCATGTTTTTAGGGAAAACTAAAAAAAAAAACTCAAAGGGGCATAATGGATTTTCAAAGTTTTATTGAAAAACAATGAGGAATGTGAATTGGATCTACTGCTAATTAAACTGAGAGTAGAGCTGTTACTGCAGGTGATTTTGAAAGGGGAAATGAGCTGTAATATTTGCTTATTTCCCTTTTTTCCTTGCTGTTGATGATGAAGCGAACTGCCTGGGGTGGGGGGACCAAAAGGATCCACTTTCCTGTTGCCGGTGGCCTGCGGCAGATTAAGGCTAGACATGACAGCTTTAAGTTGGGAAGCTACGTTAATTAGCAGCCAAATCTCTCTGGAGAGGTCTGTGGTTGCTGGACTAATTCAGACTGCCTCACCTTTGACTGAGAAGGAGCTGATGTAGTGACAGTCTTTCCTTGCAATTCAATTCAACTTGTACACAGTGTTTTGTGAGCCCACCTACTGAATTAGATGCAAACCTTTTTACTGAAAAAATACAGGATATTAGAAAAGCAGTCTGCACATCAATGCCAACTACAGTACCAATACTGTCACCAGGAAGAAAAACCTCTGCCCAATAAATTGCAAAAGTTTAGAAGAAACTGTGCAGCAGCTCAGCTTATCTTCCTGCTGTCTTGATGTTTTATGCACAGGTTTTATTAGGAAGGTGTTGCTTGTTTTAGAGACTGATTGGATTCAAATCATAAACACATCCCTCATGTTGGGTGTTTCCCTCCGAGCCTCGAAAACAGTAATTATCAAACTATTGTTGAAAAAGAGAAGCTTGGAAAAATTTGTCCTTCAGAACTACATCTCCCCTTCATCATTAAGATTATTGAAAAAGGTTTTTTTTCAACAGTTAAATGCATTTCTTAACAATGACCAGTTGCTTTGATGTCTTCCAGTCAGGATTCTATGTAGGATTCCAGTAGAAGGACTGCACTGTTTAAGGTGTTCAATGACATCCGTATAAATTCAGACATTGGAAGAACCACATTGCTGGTATTATTGCACCTCAGTGCAGCCTTTGATACTTTTGATCACTTTATTTTAGTAGAGCGTGTGGAAAACTGTACAACACTGAATTGGTTTAACTCCTACCCGAAGGACAGGGGCTTCTACATATCAGAAAAAGCACAAGTGGGGTTCTACAAGGCTCCATTCTGAGGCCCCACCTATTCAACTTCTACATGCTCCCATTGGATCAGATTATAGCTAACGACCAAATCAGTTACCATAACTATGCAGACGACACAAAGCTTTACATCACAATGTCACCAGGTGACTATGAACCCATCAGAGCGTTGGTTAGATGCTTATTACAGATTAATATGTGGGTGCAACATAATTTACTACAACTGAATAAAAACAAAACTGAGGTAATAATCTTCAGACCAAAGAAGCACTGACTGTGGCAGAGATCTTGTTGTCATGGTGGACTTAGACCTGAACCTTCAGAGGCACATAAAGGCAGTTACTAAGTCAGCCTTTTATCACCTAAAGAACATCTCCAGGATTAAATGGCTAATGTCCAAGCGTGATCTAGAAAAACTCATTCATGCATTTATATTTAGTAGAATTGACTACTGCAACAGTGTCTTCACAAGTTTGCCAAAGAAGTATTCTCACTAGAACTAAATACACAACAGATTTGTTGTCAGTGTATAAATCTCCCAGAAAGGGCCTGCCCTAACCAATTTGGTGCCCTAGGCAAGATTTTAGGTGGCGCTCCCTTGCATCACTGCACAGTATTTGCATTGTCTGCTAATGTACATATACTCAAAAGTTACTTAAAAGCTTTATCTTGGAAATTTTTTGTAAATTTACATAAAACAATATTCATATTCAAAACACTTATAAATACTTAAAAAAAAACAAATATAAAAAAAGCACTCAAGATATGAAATATAATATAGATAGCTTATTTAAAGTATTAAATTTAAATACTCCCTCCAAAAAAGTTTTAAAAAGTGACATTAACTTAAGTACAACATAAATATGTAAATAAGTAAGAAATCAAAGAAATTAGTAGGCGCAAAAATAAAGGCATGTATATAAAACAGAAAAAACATCAAAACATGATCTTACGATCAAACACAAAGGCAGTTTAATGACATGCTGAATTTTGCATAGAAAGTCATACCATATGGCTGTACAAATGCACAAGCGAAAGGATCCAATCTCCTCAGGTAAGACTGGGCTTCCACTCACACCGCAGGGTCTGTAGATCTCCCCCTCACCTCCAGAAGAGCCTCTCATAATTGCCCAGCCTTATACCTTACTGCGTCAACACTTTTTATCCTGCTTTCCCATGTGGTCTCAGTCCATGATTTCAGGGTGATTTTCACATATATTAAGAGGACATCCCACCTTTGGGTGGAGGCTTATAACAGCTTGAATACTTTTGTCAAATGCCCACAGTTGGCTCTGATAGCTGACCTTAAATGCTCATTTCACTCACCTTCCTTGTTCTGCCCAGTTCCTGATCATCTTTGATTTCATCCACCTGTAGGTTCAGCTTTATATTTAGTCCAGCCCAGCAATCGAGGCCAGATCATTGTTTGATTTTTGTTTGTCCCCTGTTTGCCTTCTGTTAGTGTCCTTTCTGTCAGTTTTAGATTTATTTCCAAGGTTTCATGTCCCTGTTCCAGTAAGGAGTTTATTCTTAAGGCAGTGTCGAGTTATTTCCCTAACCAGTGGTGAGTGCATTTCAGCGTTTCCCTAATTATTCTGTTCTCCAGATTCCGTTCCCTCTCACCCACTGGCTCTGTCTGTCCGGATCTGTTTGCCTGAACCACGGTTGGACTCCTCCTGGATTCTGCCTCCCAGGTGCGTTTCTGTCTGAGCTGGATGCTCAACGCACGGGATTCTGAACCTGCCATCATGCTCTGATGGATTCCTGGAACGGAACCCCTGACCGGACTGTGGACTTCTGAAATCCAATACTACACCATTCTGAATCCCAGTCCTGGATCGGATTCCTGCCTGCTCACCCAAGGCTGTTGCATGGGGAGGCTCTGGATGGCTCAGGGCCGCCTCTCGTTGGCAGTGCATCGGCTTATCCTGCCTATGATTGAGAGGATGAACTGAACTGCTAAACCAGGTAAGTGACTCACTCTGATAATCATTTTCTCTTCAGATGATTGTGGTCACTTACCTGTGTTTCTCCCTAAACCAGAGGGTCAGTGATTGGGCGGTGCCCCGCACCCCTCCTGTAGTCGCTACGGGTCTGCAGATCTGCAGATGTTTTGTTTTTGTATTATAAAACGTTTTGAGCTTTCCTACTGGCTGTCTCACCTTGGACACCTACCGGGTCCATCTGTCCCGTCTAAAAAAGTAGCCAAGGGCATCAGGTGAAATTTTTGCACCATTACCAATCACCAGATTTAAAGTGTGGGCACCACATGAGACATAAAAAGCTCTTGAGTTCAAATAAAGAAACTTTGCCTGAACACCTTTATTTTTTCCCTTATTAATTCCCTTAATATTGTTGTCATAGGACTGGCCTCTGCCGTCCTCGAATGGGATGGTTCATCTGGCCTTTTTAGGATTAGAGATGACGAATGTTCTCCAGTTGACTGCTCTGCCATGAGAAAGCCTAAGAATGCTCTTTTACTTGAGGAATGTATTCTTGTGACACTATCCTGACTATGACAGAGAGGGCATTTTGATCTCTGTCACAATGTGTTCTATTATTTTAGAACTGATGGAGTCTATCAGTTAATTTTGAATTGTTTTGCCAAGATAATGTACATCACGACCAGCTTCACTTCCCACCCTACTGACTTGCTCCTTCATTACTGGATCAAATCTGACAATAAGCACCATCTCTTTCAGAAAATTTCCATTGTCTGGTTTATCTATTATGTTTGTGGAATCACTAAAACCAGTAGTCGAGTTGTAAAAAAAAAAGTATACATATTCTTTAGCTCCTGAATTGGATCGACAGTTAAATAGGTTCCACTAACTCAGCGGAGCTTGAATATCTGGCTTCTAACTAACTGCCCTGCAGCAATTGATGACAGATTTCTGAAGAAGTCTTCGCAAAGTTCACAAAGTTCTTGTTCTCCGCACATCCCATACTGCTGAGTTCTTTCTTTATTGTGGCATTTTGAAACAACTGTCAAGAAGAGCCAGCACCATTGCAGCCATGTAAAATTCTGTAGGCAACTGTTAGGACAGCTCAGTCACAGCACTGGGGAGATAATTCATAATTGGGATATTGAAAAAATATAGTTTTGATTAGTTAAAATTAAAGCTACAGTGTGTAATTTTCAGCGACATCTAACGTCCAGACTGCAGACCGCAGCAACATGAACATCTCCCCCCCACCGCTTCTCCCCCCCAACAGTACGGCGAGCGTTACGGGACAAAATGTCTTCCAAGACGTCCGCATCACCTACCTTCTCAAGTAATGAGGTTTGTTTACATAGACAATTTTACAGATAGTATTTCATTAGTCTGTGTGTTCAGTACCGTTTCAGTTCATCTCTCTCAACTTGCCGTAGTTACTTTCGAGCGTAATGGGCGATCTTGCAATCGCTAGTTTGTTGGCTCTGCGCTGCAGTAGCGCAAAGATGTCTGCCTCCATGGCTGCGAGACCCGCTCCTATGTAATTATAAATAACGAATTCTAAGGCAACGCAAATATTAAGGTTAAGAGGCTGAGCTCGTAGATGATGATAAATAACATAGTTATGTATAATATATTAGATTTCTGACTGTATATCCCTGTAATTATTACACACTGTAGCTTTAACTGAAATATCTTGATTATAATTCCGGATGTGTGACACTTTAAATGACGAGTCAGATTATGTCATTTGAGATATCTGAAAATGCATTTTGATGTGACTAAAGATATCCCCTGCTTCGAATCTCTTCTCCGGGTTTCATCTGTTGTGACCCTCCCCTGTTGCAGGAGTGCGCATCACATTAAACATACGCCCATTGATGATAAAACGTATTGAAATATGAAAACGAAAAGAGAAATTTAAAACATATTCTTAATGTTTTCATATTTATTATATATGGATGCCTTAAAATTTATAGTTTTGGTGGACAGATAAATTCCAATTAATAGGATTGTACTTGTGTAGAGACATGTTTCAGTTGATGTCCTACAGTCAGTGTGCGATGAATAAATTCTTTGCACAGTGGATGCCAGTTCCCGATTTTGCTATCAACACCATTCTAGATCATTTCGGACACTTTATTTGTTAAACTTAGAACCTGCCCGAAGATTCCCTCCCCTTCTTATTTTCACATTCCCTCAAATCGTGTTGTATTTGCTGCTTGGCCGTGATGCTGTTCAGAACACCGTCACCTGCTCCGCAGGTTGCGCCACTGAGGTCAAGAATGAAATGGGATGTGCCCTCTGGGCAACCGTAATTTGGTCAGGTTACTGGAAAATGCACAGCCTGCCAAATCTTGAAAGGGCAATATTATTGCATTTACTATTAATATATAGTAGACATTTACACATTCAGTAACAAAATGACTCAGGGGATGGTCATTAAGAAGGGGGATGGTTTTTCAGATTTTTTTTAAGAAGGGGGATGTCATCACCTCTCAACTCGAGGACTGCCTAAAACCCATGTTTCTTTCAGCTATGGACTAAATTATTGCCACTAATCGGTGTAGAATGTCACACCACCCTTTTCTCTCAGCCTCAGCCAGTAACATCTCTCGTTTATCTATTGTTATCCTTTTTGTAAAACAGACGGACCCCCTGTTGGAGACCTACGGGTTAGAGGATAGGGTCAGTCAGTCGGGTCTACTGGAGCGACATGATGACTGTTTGAGGCTGCTTCAGCACTACTGGGTTGTGCTGCTGAGTTGGAGGCAACAGGAGGACTTAAGGTGTAGTACAGAGAAACATCTTCAGCGCATCTGGAGACAGAAGAGGAATATATGACAGTCTAATAATAAACACAAAATTAAATTATTATATTAAATAAATATTAAGTACAATCATCATTTTTTGTTGAAATCTTTAATAAACAATAACTTAAAACAAACCTTGAACAGAGAAAGTAATGTATAAACACAGTGAGCAAAACTACAGTCTGATTCACATATATGAATGATTCTGTGAGCATAAGAGCTTAAAGGTATAATGGATGATGTTGGAGTTAGAACAGTGGGAAGTTTCAAAAAGTTTAATAACAAAAAAATAAATAAATAAAACAGAGACAGAATGAAAAGAAACGTGGGCTGCTGTGGATCAGCAGACCTGCAACGGCTGTGAGGGAGGCGGGGCACTGGCACTCAGGTTCACCAGTTCAGTCCCTCCTCTCACGAAAGGCAGGATCAGCCGATGCACTGCCAACATGATGTGACGCTGAGCCATCCAGAGTGTCCTCTGTGAAACAGTCCCAGTGAGCAGGCAGAAGGTCAATCAGGGTCAGGGAAACAGTTCAGAACAGGACCATTCTGATATCCAGGAGTCCGTAGCCCAACCAGGGGCACAGCAACAGACAGATCCAGGGTTCCAGGAATCTACCGAGCATTCAGGCATGTTCAGAGTTCCAATGAGTGCAGCAGTGAGCTCAGATAGACACGCTCAGATGGAGAGAGGCAGCTTCACTGGTAGAAAGGAATATAGACAAGACATGGTACCAGAATAACTGCCGAACTTTAAACTGTACTTAACCTCTGAGCCAGGATTACAGGAAATAAAACTGGCCGCCCCCGCAAGCCTAGCGAAAACCCTGTGGGTGCAGCGGAGAAGAGCGGGGACACAATCCAAAGACAGGGGACAAACAACAAACCCTCTCAATCCACTAGCCTCCGGGGATGGGAACATGACCCTGTCATGATTTGTTTGGAGGTTTTTGTGAGGACCCAAATGCAGATGCTGACAGGCAGGGGTGAGTTCTTTAAATGTTTAATGAAATATCAGGCAGCAAAAACAGGAATGCAAAAAATCCAACTTAAAAATGTTAAACAAAAACAGGTATCCAAAAATACAACATAAAAATAAAACACAAACCAGAACCATGGAGACATCAGGGGAAAACCATCAAGGTGCCAGGGTGAGAAAAAGTAAGATGAGGAACCAGCAAAGAGGTACTGCAGAGGGAGTGTATTTATGGCTGACTGAACAAAGGTAGGACTAATGATCTGATAAGGAGCAGGTGTGACTAGGGCTGATGAGGAAGCCAAGGGAAAAGAAAACACAAGGGGACAACAGAGGACAGACAAAGAAAAAACTAAGAAACTTAAATGAATCTAGAACACACCAATGAAGCTAGAGAACAAGGAAAAACCTGGATGAACTTGAAACTGAAAACTTAGAGAAAAACCAACATCAATGACAAGATCATTACAGAACCGAGGACTAAACAAAAATTAAATTACACAGAGAAAACATGGATAAGTAACACAAAAAACTAAGAATAATGATCTGGCCCCGATAGCTGGGCTGAACCATATAAAGCAGAGGGAGCAGGTGAATAAGATGAACGATAATTAGAGCGCAGGGAGGGAACATTAGGTGAATGAAGTGAGTAATCAGATCAGCTACCAGGGCTGCGATCCTGACAATAAGTGGTCCTCCTAACTGTCAATCATTCTGGTGATATGTTTAAGTAAGGCCGTCCTACGTGCTCGTACCCGTTTTCACTTAACAGTGGTTAGACTGACATAGTGGAAAAAGTGCTTATCTTCTTTAAGAAAGTAAGCTTGTATGAGCGATGCAAACAGCAACTTTTAAACAGAGCATGCACAACGAGAAATGGACTCATGCATGCTCTCACTCGTGTTTTATTATCGTTCCCTCTCAGGAGCAGGTACAGGGTTGAGCATGTGCAATTTCTTTTTGTAACGTAGAGAGCGCCGGCCTTTTCAGAAATTTGCGAAAATCCTACACTATACTTTTAATTAAGAGAATTATAATGTTTAAATTACATTAACAGCAGGCAATCCATCACAGTAGTTTTTCACAGATCCATTTCAGAGAAGCTGCACAGGAAATGTCGTTCCACTTTTTATTTATATACTGCGCACAGTCTTCATCACCCTTCCAATTATCAGGTTGATTGTCTCTCCAAAATCTGGAAGATTTAGATAAAAGTGAGTCATTCCACAGTGTAAAAACTATTACATAACAAGCATAACCAAATAGGATTTTTTATTTGCCCCTTATTGTCAGTTACTTATAGAGCAGTAAGATGTTAAACATTTCTCAGCCATTTCTCACTTTCTCTCTTTCTCTTTCTGTCTCTCTCCAATCGTCTCCACCTTCCGTGATTCGACCTGTCAATCAGCCACACTACGCCCATGACGACTGTTCTGTCAGCTCGGGGCACAGGCTAATTTGCTACGGCTGAACGTAGCATGACTGAATGATCTGTCTGTTTATTTTTCTTTTTTTCTGAAGAGTCAGGGTGGTATGGTTTGACTGGTTAGCATTGTAAGCCTCAAGCCACCTAATCGTCAGCCACACATATACATGTGGACAGCCACGATTTATTTCAGCTAACTCCGTTTTTCTACAAGCTGGTACATTTTAATGCATTTTTTTTTACTCATTCTTAGTTATTCACTGTAAAGGACGCTACACTGTCTCTTTTGTTACGTTCCACTCTCTCTGATGTGACCAGAACGACACCGCTCTGAAGACACAACCCACTGGCGTAGGTTTTAAAAACACCAGCTCCCCATATTAGCGTCCTATTTTGCCGGTGGCTAAGCGCAGCTTAAGGCTAGAACAGAGCGCGTCCAGCTGTTGGCTATGCTACGTAGCAACCACATTCCTCAGGAGAGGTCTGAGCTCGCTGGACTGAGTCAGACTGCCTTTTTCCTGCAATTCAGAAGGAGCTGAATGCAGTGTATCCTGAATCCTGCTGCAGCAGAAACAGAGAAGAGCTAATCCAGCTCTGCTAACCACCGAACAACGCTCGTTGTTTACCAAAGAAGCCGGACTGTGACTGTGACTGCCTATGAGACGGAGGGACGGAGCAGCGCCGCAGAGGTACTACAAGCCACGGCTACGTCCTAACCAAGGGAGACGTCCCGTGCTGCCTGGAGTTATTTTTACATCGGATTGATCCAAATCTCTTTCAAGTTGCCGTTGGACGGATGGACTGGAGGGAAGACGGGCCTGCAGAAACCCGACCGAGCTGAAGGCCTTCCCTCCACTCAACCAAAAACAATAACTGCATCCTTCTCTCTTCTTTACATCTGATGCTTAATAAGTGCTCTGCTTGGGTGAGCTATAGGTAGAATAGATAGACGTGTTGGTGTGTTTATTTAAAATAAGCTTTCTGATTCCACTGCTAATGGTTTTAAAGGTTTAACTGAATGCTGATGCTCACTACAGACCGAACAAGTCATGTGTTGCTGAAGCTATCTGCTAAATAGTGAGTTAACCCTCTCTGTGTTTTGGTTGGAACCGACCAGTACCAGAACCTCTGGGGCCAGCTAAGCTAATGGGTTTTCAGCTTCATCAGAGTTTAATGCATTCCTGAGTCATTATTTATTTTCTGCCATAAACTGAAAGAAACTTCACTGTTATGACTGCAGTTAACATCTCTGTCAGAGTCTATCCACATTTTATCTGTTGCTATTATAAAGGACACTTTCAAATGTTATTATCATGTTCAAATGTTGCTATTCTCATTTATCTGCTGCTATTGTAAAGGACACATTAATCGTATTAACCTACAAACCTTAAAACTTGGATATTCCCAGAGACTCTTGGACTCGTATAAGCCTTCTTTCAGTTTTTATGAGCTTTTCGTTCCCTTGTTTCTTATTTTTAGCAGCATTCAGTGTTTGCGTAGTAATTAGATACGATAATATTGTAATACGAATTATTAGGTAATAAAGGTACTAATGTTTCAACCCGTGGTCTCTTGTGATTACTCATGCAGTAAACAGTTAATAGCTGGTCAAGAAGTCCATCATTAATTAATAGTCTTGAGAACCTTGGTGAATAAGCAGATAACAGTTATAATTATTTAACTAATAATATTAATTGGGTTTCCCCCTGAATTTTAATGGCCTATTAATCAACTACAACTCCCAGTTCTAGTTCTTTAATATATTTATTAATATATTTATTACTTTCTGGTTCAGTTCCACAACAGTAAGCATGGATACTCTACTTTTGTAATGATCCTGGCACTGAAGCTGATTCTGCTTCACTCTGGTTCAGTCTCCACCCTCCTTGCAACTAACCTCTACTGCTTTCACCTGTCGCCACCTGCATATAAGCTTCGTTCTGATCTGTCTCCAGTGCCAGATCGTTTCAAGCCAGCCCAGTAAGAACCTTCCAGCCTTTAACATTGAGAACCTGTCTGCCTGCCTACCGACCTGTCTTTGTCCCCTGATTCTGAGCCTGCCTGATCCCTCTCTGGATTGTTCTGCCTCTCCGAGTCCTAATACTGGATTCCGGATTGACCACCCGTGCTTCTGAACCCTTTTCTGCTTGTGAGTACCTGGGCCTGCCTGCCCCCTTTACTCTGTGTTTATCATGAGATTGGACCTGGAACTGGATACGGAAATATCTACTGGATTACACCCTCCTGTACCTCTGCTGCCTTATTGGACCCCGTTACCGAGCCTGGACTGCCTCTGGACTAAAGCCCCTGGAAAGCTCGCACAGTTTGTCGACCGCTCAATGGTCTGCCTCCTCCTCCTGCCTGTCTCAGGCTTGCACACAGCGCTCTGGCTCCTCTCATTACCAGGTTAGTCCTTCGTCAACTCCTCCTAACCTGCATCTGAAGCCTCTAACCTGCCCCTCCCCCTCTAGGACGTTCCGGCCCATTATCGAGAGCTGCACGCCCGAGAGCCAGCGCTGTTTAAACCCTGTTTTTTCAATAAATACTTTAAACGTCGCCGACTTGTCGTGGTTGCATCTCGGGTCCGAATCGAGTACATTAAAACTTTTCTAAATTAACCTCTATTTACTTAAAGAAATGGGCAAAAAAAGCTGATGAATTTAACAAAATACACCTTTTTTTCCATAATTTTCTGATAAGTTTCATGAAACAGTAACACGCTCATTGGAACTTAAATATTGCTTATGTCACTGTTGCAAGTAACCCCAAAAAGTAAACACTTACGAAAGATTCATAGAGGTCCCATCCACCCACTTCCAAGAACCTTCAGTTTCGATGTCGCTCACACCAATCCAAGGCACGTCCTTTGAAAACTTGGACATAAAGTCCTGTATATGTAATATCATACACAAAGTATTAGTGGGAGGTAGGTAGAAGATAGTCATACCATGTTAATATACATGAACAATACACTTCTGAATAAACAGATTACTGGGATTCTCTACTGCAGATCTATCTATCTAGTTGCATACGCTCATGGATTTGCATTTACATTTAAGCTGTGGGAGGAAGCTGGAGTACCCAGAGAACACATCAATCCCACACATCAATGGGGATTTAAACCCATAAGAAGACTGAGATGAGAGGGTTGTTTTACTGCAAGAAGGTTTGGGATCCACGCCACAATGCTACATACCAGCATCTCGAATGCTTCAGACACGACTGCTGAGTAGCCCAAAGCTCCATGCACTACAGGCATAGAATCATCTGATCAGCAATCCCCTACTTAACTAACTACATCCACTCAGGATCCCTTGATTGTATGTCACAATCATCAAAACAACTACTGGCTTCCTCTGTCATACTCCGGGCCCTGGCTGCAGGCCAGGTTTTCTCTCTCTCTCTCTCCTCAGCAGGGATGGACGGGCAGGTGCACTACATCTGAGCTGATTACCACCGTTCTTAAAGCTACAGTGTATAATTTTCAGCGACATCTAACGTCCAGACTGCAGACTGCAGCAATATGAACATCTCCCCCCCACCGCTTCTCCCCCCCAACATTACGGCGAGCGTTACGGGACAAAATGTCTTCCACGATGTCCGCATCACCTACCTTCTCAAGTGATGAGGTTTGTTTACATAGATAATTTTACAGATAGTATTTAATTTGTCTGTTTGTTCAGTACCGTCTCAGTTCATCTCTCTCAACTTGCCGTAGTTACTTTCGAGCGTAATGGGCGATCTCGCAATCGCTAGTTTGTTGGCTCTGCGCTGCCGTAGCGCTAAGATGTCTGCCTCCATGGCTGCGAGACCCGCTCCTGTGTAATTATAAATAACGAATTCTAAGGCAACGCAAATATTAAGGTTAAGAGGCTGAGCTCGTAGATGATGATAAATAACATAGTTATGTATAATATATTACATTTCTGACTGTATATCTCTGTAATTATTACACACTGTAGCTTTAATAGAGCTGGAACCAGGAGGAGGGCATCAGTTCGTTAACGCCTCTGCATTGGTACAGACCAAACTAGACCTTGTTCCTGTGACTCAAAACCCTAGCCTAAACTCTGCTCTCTAACCTTTTCTTAGAGAACCTCTGTCTCTGACCCTGAGACCCAGCCTGGAAACACAGACCTTGGATCCCCGTTTCAACGCAACCAGGAACCCGAGAGTGATCTCGGTCTTATCCACCGCTTAGCCCTCCTACCTGCGCTCACCTGCCTGTCCACCCTCGAACCATCAACCAGGGAGAGAGTACTGGTCAGCACTCGCACCACTGGAGACACTCCCCCCCCCAAGATTGGACCCCAGCCTCTCTACAGTGAGTGTCAGCCCAGCATATTCCTACAGCAACAGTTCCCATTCATTCACCAGTCTCCTCATCTTCTCAGCAGAAGCCCAGAAGAACAAAAGCAGACCAGACCATACAACTTCTTGTTCATACCCACTACATTTTTTCAATAAACCTTTTAACCTACTACCTGCCTCTGTAGTTCTCTTGTTCAGAGTCACCTTCAATTATGACACCCTCAGCATCAAGTCAATTATGCTCCAGAGCTTCTGTTTGTAGTCAATATGTCAAAGTTAAAGTCTCGTGTCATATCACCAACATCAAAGTGTTGGCAGCAACAGCCAAAACTCTGCCTTAGGTCTCCAAAGAAAGTCATCCAGCAACAGCCATCACGATGACCCCCCAAGGGTAATTCTCTTCCTCGCCCCGCTCATTTACCAGCTCTTTCTGACCATGCAAACTTGTACCACTGTTTCTGGATCAATGTTTGCCCAGCTATTCTTGGAGCTTTTGAGAAATGTGAGTTGGATCTACTTCTGATAGTTTGCTTCCTTGTCTTCCAGGGTAACCAGAGTGACCCTCTTCCAGAACCTTTAGGCAAACAAACCTCAGCAACCTTCAGATCACTTGTAGCTCTGGCATAACCTTCTGTTCCTGTTGAGTAGGTTGAAAAAAACCCATCCCTGAATGTTTGATTCCACCAAGGAGGTTGAGTGATGTTCAGCCCCCTAACTGTTTGTGAAAGAGATAGGCCTGGTATGTTTTTAACTTTGCAGGCTCATTGTTGCTGTTCTTAGCCAAAACATGGAAAGTCAGGGACGGTCAGAGACCAACCATGAGAAATTAATCAGCAACCTTCATGATCCTTGGGCTGCATTTAAGAACACTTTATACCAGTTCACCCCTCTTTTGTATTTCAGAGCAGAGTTATATCTAGACCTAAAGAGCTTTCTGACAAAATTGCAAGCAATTGCATCGTGAAAGAGATCTGTCTGGCCTCTTGGCCACCTTCCATTGTTTCTTTATTAGTCAGAGTTGACAAAGCAAGAAGTAAATTTGGTCAAACCTCAAATTTTTATCAGGAACGTAACAACAATTGTGCATATATTTGTGTTTTCTTTATTTAGGGTTCTTGTGAAAAAATTTTAATGAGCTACATAGTGGGAAATTATAGTGGAATATTAATGTAACAATGACCACAGTACCTGTTCTTCTTTATCATTTATCACCACCATATCTGCTCCTCTTGTTATGCAATCCTTTCTTCCTTCATCCCAGGAACCTCTCTTTGTAGAGAGGAAGTAACAGGAGCAACCGAACTTAGACCATCCTGTAGGACATATTTTACCTAAGGAGAAAAAAGATATGCATTTTTTTTTCATTTGAACACGTTTTTTTTTTTGCAAGAAAACAATGGAACATTTAGTTTTTTTATATACCATTTTTTAGACTTTGTTAAACAATGTATTAATCTATTTACAAGAGGAGCTATGTTTAAATTCTGTTCTGTCTTCAAAGGCTTTAATCTAAAACTGGAAGAAATAGACACAGATTGAAACGGGATTATGAAAGTCATTGCAGCACAATGAGTTTTCCTTTACATTTTGTTTAAAAAAGACGGAGGAACTTAAGCTGACCAACAACCCAAAATATCTATACATTTCATCCAGCCTTTTCACAATTGTTTTGGTTCTTTTTTGAGAAACCTGACCTGACCTTGACCTGTATAGCTTTTTCATCATTTCTGTGAGTTTAGCATGCAGCAGGTTTCTTTCTTCACTCAATCTAAAAAATACAAGTCAGGCTTACACTGAACATCAACAATGAAATATTTACTTTTTGAAATACAATTCTTTTGACTTTGATAAAAAAAATGTATTAATCTATTTACAAAAGGAGCTAAGTTTAAATGTTGATCTGTCTTCAAAGGCTTCTATCTAAAACTTTGGAGGCAATAAACACACATATTGAAATGGGATTATAAAATTTAGGGTTGCAGCACAATTAGTTTTCCTTTACATTTTATTTCCAAAAAACAAAAAAAAACAAAAACTGAAGAATTTAAGCTGACCAACAACCCAAAAATATCTATACATTTCATCCAGAGTTACATGATCATTTTTTGTCCTTTTTTAACAAACCTCGAGGCCTGTTCAGCTTTTTCATCATTTCAGTGAGGTTAGCATGAAGCAGGTTTCTTTCTTCAGTCATGGAGTAAAGCTTGCTGTTGCTGTCCTGGAGACGGTCGGTAAGATTTTCATTGATGTTAGAGAGACCTACTGCCAAGTCCCAAGCTGAAATAAATCAATTACATGTTTGTTAAAAGAAAATAAAAACATGTATTTTTATGTTAATAACTCGTGTCATCTTAATGTCTCATAATTTAAAAATAATTCACACTGAAAGAGAAAATATAAATACTAGTGTTGCCCCGATAATGATACCCAATATCTGGCTGTGCACTATCGGCCGATACCGACACCATATATTTGAAATTGATGTGTGTGTGTATATATTAAAAACTGCATACTACTTGGATGTAAAACAATTTCCATCATTTCTTTGTCTATCTTCTGCCTACCTTTGTGAAGCAGGAAAAAGACTAATACAAAGTGAATCCAGTAGAACATTTTTTTGCCTACCTAGAATGGGTGACAATAGTTGATTAAGTTTTGGCTCTCAAAATGGTATCGTTGCCCTATTTGTTAGTACTCGCCGATACCGATACCATCATTTTAGTGCTGGATTGGGGCCCTGCCCGATACTGGTATTGGTATCTGTGCAACACTAATAAATACTTTGAGTAGTGAGGGTATTATTACAATTCTATCTAAAATGGCAGGAAAGTACATTTGGATTGAAAATGACAAAGTATTGTTTCTGTAATCTAAAAAATGCCAGACAGTCTTAGACTTAACATCAGTGAAAGTCATGTAGCATACAGCGTACTTTATGGCTAACCTGGAAGGCACTGCAAAATTCTGTGTGGATTCTGTGTGTTCTTTTAAACCCAGTCAATCAGTCTCATTGTTTCATTGATTACAGCAAAAGACGGTTTACTCTTACCATATTTAAGATGACTAGAACAAGACTCATAGTGGAGACCAAGGACGATGAGTCCAACCAGCAGTAAAACATTCAGGATTCCCAGAAATATAATAACAACCAGGAAGGGCCTCTTCTTGGAGCTACTTGAACCTGAAAAAACAAAATGAATATTATCTTAATTCATTTTGGTCTTAAATTATCATAAAATACATCATACATTTCTCTATCCGATCGTTCTTACCTTCGATCTGAGACTTAGTAATTTGGCAAACAGGTTTCACATGTTCTACATTGACATAAATTTCCTCCATCGCTTAATGCGGAAAATGGCTGGCTATTTTGAGTACTGACAAAGAAATCTGCTGTATAAGGTTATATAAGTCAAAGCTGTAGGACAGCCCTTTCTTAGAGTAAAACAGGAAGCTCACATGTTCACAGCTCAAAGCTGACAGTAGGCAGACAGGAAAGAGGTTATGAGAGAGGGGGGAGAGATGTGTGGCAAAGGACCACAGGTAAGATTCTAAACTGGGTGGGCCGCATCGAGGACTAAGGCCTCCGTACATGGGTCGTGCGCGATAAGCGCTGCGCCACCTGCATGCCTGAAACTAAATATTTTGATGAAGAAATAAAAAAAAAAATTTTGAAAGTGCTTAAAAGACAGAGCAGCAGTGCTACAGTTTTATTGAGATCAATATCATCGGTGTAATAGGAGCGACTCCCCTCTGATATCACACGCACTCCTGCAGTGAAATTTTATTTAAGGAGCCGGCGCCTGTCCAATTTCCTGTTGCAAGTGGCCTGTGGCCGCGTAAGACTAGACATGCCAGCTTTAAGTTGAAAGTTACATTAAGTCACAGCCAAATCCCTCTGGAGAGGTCTGTGGTTGCTGGACTGAGTCAGACTGCCTCTACTCTGATTGAGAAGGAGCTGATTTTAGTGACCATCTTTTCCTGAGATTCAAATCGAGTTGTACACAGGTTTTCGTGAATCCACCTGCTTAAGGAGATGCAAAACTGTTCAGCAGCTGAGCTCATCTTCATGCTGACTTGATGTTTTACAGGTTTTATTAAAAAGGTTTTGCCTGCTTAAGACTCTGATTTGATTCAAATCATAAACATATCCCTCATTTCCCCCTATTCAAGCAGTTTAGGGTCATTTGTGAGGTTGATTGCCTTTTTATAACATTGACCGGCTGCTTTGATGTCTTCCAGTCAGGATTCTCTGCAGGATTCCAGTACAAGGACTGCACTGTTTAAGGTGTTCAATGACATCCGTATAAATTCAGACATTGGAAAAAACACAGTGCTGGTATTATTGCACCTTAGTTCAGTGTTTGATACTGTTGATTTTATTAGAGTGTGTGAAAAACTGGGTCGGCCTTTCTCGTACAACACTGGATTGGTTTAACTGCTACCTGAAGGACAGGGGCTTCTACATATCAGAAAAATCACATGTGGGGTTCCACAAGGCTCCATGCTGAGGCTCCACCTATTGAACTTACATGCTCCCATTGGATTAGATTATGGCTAACAACCAGATCAGTTACCATAACTATGCAGACGACACAAAGCTTTACATTGCAATGTCACCAGGTGATTATGAACCCGTCAGAGTGTTGGTTAGATGCTCATAACAGATCAAAATTTGGAATAATCTTCGGACCAAAGAAAAAAATATCCAGATTTACCTCACAGCTTCAGCTAGTACTGATAGAAAGCACTGCTTGTGGCTGACATCTTAAGTGTCATGATGTTTTCAGACCTGAACCTATAAAGTCAGCTTTTATCACCTAAAAAACATCTCCAGGATTAAATAACTAATGTCCAAGCGGGATCTAGCAAAACTCATTCATGCATTTATCTTTAGTAGAATTGACTACTGCGACAGAGTCTTCACAAATTTGCCAAAAAAGTCCATCAGTCAGCTGGTCCCAAACCCTGCTGTCGACATTTTCACTAGAACTAAATACACAACAGATTTGTTGTCAGTGTATCAATCTCCCAGATAAGGCCTGCCCTAACCAATTTAGTGCCCTAAGTAAGATTTTAGGTGGCGCCCCCTTGCATCTCTGCACAGTATTTGCATTGTCTGCTAATGTACTTATATTCACAGCACACGTTTTTTTATTTACATAAAACAATATTCATATTCAAAATACTTAGAAATACTTTTAAGAAAATGAAATACAATAAAAGAACTCAAAATATGAAATATAATATAGAAAGCTCATATAAAGTATTAAATTTAAATACTGCCCCCCAAAAAAGTGTAAACAAGTGACATTAATTTAAATACAACATAAATATGTGACTTCAAAGTAAGAAAGCAAAAAATGAGTAGGCACAAACATAAAAGCATTTCAATAAAACAAAAATCCTTCAAATCATGATCTTATGATCTAACCAAAATAAAGACCAAAAATTGCACTAGAGCTGCTCTCGTGGTGTTTTTGGTCTGCCTACCCTGAATTACTTCAATAACTTTACATCACCTTCTTAATTTTACATGACCTTACATGACCTGATTTTCTTGTGGCAAATTCATCCATAACATCATCATATGACAATGGATTTGAGACTACATGATTAATGCTTGTGATGGAAAGTCCACTGAAAAGTCCTTGGATCATAGTTTTAATCAATTTAAGCTTGGATAAGCTTCTTTCAGCAGCAGCAAACATAATTGGCAGAGTGAAAGAGATTCTCAAACATCCCACATGTTGGGGTCAATTTCTGCTAGCTTCTTCTAATGCAGGAAGGTTAAAACTTACATGTTGGTTGTATTCTTTGATGGCAGTGGTGGGAAATTTTGCATTTCTCTTGCAAGTGCTGCGCTATCTATGTACTGCTGGCAGCCATGGGTCAGAGCACCACTTAGGGTTTGACACTTCTGAAGTAACTCTTTTTCTTCTAAGTTGGGGAAATCAAGAAGCACGCCAAACTTGTTATTCACTTCTCCAAGATTCTGAAATCTTTAATGGGCTCATCTGGAGACTCATGGGTAAAGTGTGTTTTTGTGGTTCTCAAACTGCAGTATAATATATCATAGCATATGGGAATGCTAAGATATGCAGTAACATTAAGGATACAACATACTTTAATATTATTAACACACACAAAATATGAGCTGTAACACAGCTAACAGTTAGGCTTAGATCTATGGAAAAATAATTGTTATTGTTAAATGTAAGATATTCGTCAATGCAAAAAACAAAACAAAAAAACTGCTACCATTAAAATCATCAATCTTGTTTTGCTAAAATTATTTTCTAGCTTTACACTAAAATTTACACTAAAACAGCATAGTGTGGTTCAGTGTGATATGTTCTTCGCAGGCCTGTTTAACTTGGTTCCACACATATCTGCATAGAACAAATTTGTATAAAGAGTAGTTCATAAATATATGTTACTTTTCAATCTGTGGTATGTTAAAGGAATAGTACCGCGGCAGACCAAACCAGATAAAAGTGCGCATTCAGCGTCTGCTCTGCCGATAATGCAAGCGTAGAAGAAGAAATGTGCTGTTTACCTGTGCAAAGAAAGAAACAACGAAAGAAAAATGTCTGAGGACTTCAGTTTTGAGGAAGAGCAAGAGTTCTTTGCCGAGCTGAATGCGCACTTTCATCTGGTTTGGTCTGCCGCGGTTTCCGTAGGCTCGTGAACTCGCAGGCGCGCGCTTTTAGGAGATCCTATACACTACTGTTTATGCTCTAAAAACATTCTAAATGACTTCGTTTCGAGTAAATTATGGACGCTACCCACTCAGGACACTTGGAATACATTGGACGAGCAGTATGGAGGAATATTGACACGTTTTTTGTGGACTTTTATGGACCTTTCTGCCTCGGGCACCATAGACCTCCATTATTTGAATGTCAGCAGACAGTAAGAAGCCTCCCAGATCTCCAGATGCATTTGAGATATCAAAAAAGTACTCCAGAGTGTTGTTCAGCATGGGGGTGAGTAGAAAATGAAGGCTAATCATGTTTTGGGTGTACTATTCCTTTAAGGTCTGTTTTTTCCTTTAAGGGCCAGCGGTAAAACAAAGTTATGAGTACTTGTAATATTCTTACTTTATCGAATTGATAATCCTGGTTTTTCATGATCAGCTTCATAACTGGAAAATCATGCCACTTGGTGGAAATTCAGAATTATTCATTTTCAGTTTTACTTTGCAAGGTTTAGAATACAAACTAGTAGCATGTACAAGTTATAATACCCTTTTGAACTCTCGATTAAAGAGGTGTAATAGACTCCCAGTTTTCACACCATCTGTCAACATTTGAGAGTCTCTTGTTCTTCAGGCCTGAATAAAAACACTCTACTTTATTGACTTGAGCTAATAAAGTTTGGACACAGATATTATGCTGCTGCAAAGGCAACATTTAGTTTAGATAAAATCAAGAAGTTCCCTTTTTTTGCATTTTACTGCAAGTATCTTGTTTCTGGTATCCCTTAGATTATTTTATTTTTTTTCTGCTCGCCCTAGTTGTCGCTGTTCAGGTTCTGTCTGTATACATAATGTCTGGTATTATGATTAGTTTAAAACAACAGTAAACCTTGATAATCCCATCCATCCATCCATCCATCTTCCTCCGCTTATCCGAGGTCGGGTCGCGGGGGCAGCAGCTTAAGAAGGGAGGCCCAGACTTCCCTCTCCCCAGCCACTTCTTCCAGCTCTTCAGGAGGAACGCCAAGGCGTTCCCAGGCCAGCCGAGAAACATAGTCTCTCCAGCGTGTCCTGGGTCTTCCCCGGGGCCTCCCCCCGGTGGGACGTGCCCGGAACACCTCACCAGGGAGGCGTCCAGGAGGCATCCTAAACAGATGCCCAAGCCACCTCAACTGGCTCCTCTCGACGTGGAGGAGCAGCGGCTCTACTCCGAGTCCCTCCCGGATGACCGAGCTTCTCACCCTATCTCTAAGGGAGAGCCCAGCCACCCTACGGAGGAAACCCATTTCGGCCGCTTGTATCCGCGATCTCGTTCTTTCAGTCATGACCCAGAGTTCATGACCATAGATGAGGGTAGGAACGTAGATCGACCAGTAAATCGAGAGCTTCGCTTTTTGACTCAGCTCTCTCTTCACCACGACGGACCGGTACAGCGCCCGCTTCACGGCAGACGCTGCACCAATCCGCCTGTCGATCTCCCGCTCCCTTCTTTCCTCATTCGTGAACAAGATCCCAAGATACTTAACCTCCTCCACTTGGGGCAGGACACCCCCCCTGACCCGGAGAAGGCACTCTACCCTTTTCCGGCTCAAGACCATGGCCTCGGATTTGGAGGCACTGATCCCCATCCCGGCCGCTTCACACTCGGCTGCGAACCAATCCAGCGAGAGCTGCTTGA